AAAAGGAAGGAAGATCGCAATCACACAATGCTACGCACCTACAAATAATGCAGGTGAAGAGAGGAAGGAGGAATTTTACAGACAACTGCAACCAGTTATAGATAAAACCCCACCTCGGATGGCGGCGTGAAAATTCTAATGTGTGGCGTTGTATAAGTGCGGAAACGGGAGCAGACAACACAGGAACAGAACTCATCATCATGGGTCGAGAAGCACTCGGTAAAATGATGCACAAGAATGGAAAATTATTTGCAGAATTCTGTACACGCAACTATTTGGCGATTGGGGGCACTGTGTTCAAGCACATGGATTTCACTAGACACCAGGACATACTAAAAATCAGGTTGAATTCATCTCAATCTCAAGAAAGTGGTGACGCAGTCTACTTGACATAGGATCAAGAAGAAGAGCAGATGTAGGTTTAGACCACCATCTAGTACAAGGAACATCTTCCAAATCAAGTTAAAAGCCTTTAAGGAAGCTGATGATAGAACACAGTTCAAGTATAACGCTCAGAAACTGAAGGACGAAGCTACAAAGGAAATCTTCACGGTGGCCATCAAGACAAAACGGGAGATATCGAGCAGCATCCCTGAAGAAACATGTGCGGAGGAGCACAAGAACTCTTCGAAAGCTATGTGGAAGGAAATCTGCATAACCGTATTAGGAAGGAAGAAGGAAGAAGATAAGGAATGGATCTCGACGGATACATGGAGGGTGACAGAGCAGGGAGAGGGGGACGGTGAAGCAGAAGATGAACCAGTGCAAGGATGAACGACGAGAAAAGTATCTGAGTATGAGGTACAAAACACTGGTCAGAGAAGTGAAGAAGACTGCGTGCAAGGACAAAAGACACTTCTACGAAACACTGGTAAGTGAAGCAGAACAGGCTGCTGGTAGGGGAGACCTGACGACATTGTATCAAATAACTAGGTTACCATCTGCAACGCCACGCATCATCATAAAACACAGAATAGAATGGCAGTCAACCCTCTACTTCAGTTTCATCGAATTTGAAAAAACCTTCGACAGCGTCGACCGAGAGGTAATTGGAAACTGCTCCATTATACGGGATACCGCAAAACTTTTATCAGCCTCACTCAACAACTATATGAAGACGCCACATGCCAAGTAATTCACAATCGGAAGCTCAGTGATGCCTTTGAAGTGAAGACAGGAGTAAAACAAGGTTACCTACTATCACCCATGATATTCCTGATTGTGTTGTGGTGGACTGGATCATGCCACAAACAGTGGGGAGCGAGAAGAGGGGTATACACTGACTGGACTGCGGAAAAGAACCTAGAAGATCTGGATCTCGCCACCGATGACTTATGTCTGATGTCACACAAACTTGAAGATCTACAGACGAAAACTAACAAGTTGGCAGAAGAGGCAGAGAAGACGGGACTTCAAATGAATATAGAGAAGACAGAAGTGATGAAGATACCAACCAACAAACTCCAATCACCATCAACGGGAGAAACTTAAAGGAAATAACCTCCTCCACCTATCTAGGAAGCACTGTTTCAACTACAGGCAACACAGGCACAGACGAGGATGCCAAAGTCAGAATTGGAAAGGCAAGACAGGCGTTCATTAGCCTGAAACCAGTGTGGAGATCTTCCCCACTCACCATAAAGCCTGAACAACACCCGGATTTTCAACACCAACCTCAGTCAAGTCAGTGCTTCTGTATGGTTCAGAGACTTGGTGCGTTACGAAAGGGATTTCCAATAAACTACAGACATTCATCAACAACTGCCCCCTACGCTGGCTCGTTACTGAAGATCAGATGAGAAGGCCAGAAAGAATAAGCAACAAGGAGCTCTGGGAACGAACCAACCAAGAAGCTATCACCCAACAAATATGCATTGGAAGGAAGTGGAGATGGATTGGGCAAACACTGAGAAGGCCGACTGGGGACATCACGCGTCAACCCCTCGAGTGTAAAGCGACGAGTTGGACGTCCGAGGCTAGGGTGACATGTAGGAGATCGTGCGCGGAGGAAGTGAGAACTTGTGGGCTGTCTTGGAGCCAGGTTGGAAAGATTTCGGAGAACAGAGTTCACTGGAGATGTGCTACTGAAGCCCTATGTTCCATTAGAAACCCAAATGACAAATAAATAAAAAAAAAACATGTCCATCCACAGTGGCTATGGCCTCAGTGCAGAGAGGACTCGTCGTTTGCTGTTGTCTCAGTGTTCTCAATCTGTTCCACGAAAACGAACGTTCCCGTTGGTTTCGTCCTTGGCGATGAACCGTGTCTGCAGTACTCTGGTCGGGAGCTCTGAGTATCCGAAGTCAACTACCATCAGTTTGGGCTACACCACCGTTGTCAGTTGTAGGATACGTGAGAGCTCAAAGGTCTCTGGGGCTCCTACCCCAATTAAGCCCATCATTGCAGATGACCACTGCCACCGCTGAACATCGTGAGTGCGATTTTCTCCCGACAGGCGGGCTGTTAGTTTCCGTATACGATGGATGACCGCAGTTGCTATTCTTAACTCACAAGACAGTTCTCGATGTTTTTCTCACTTATCATGGCCTACCTTTGAAGCTGGATGACCAACTGATGGCTAGCGTGTGACAACAAGAGGAACTTTTCGGCCCCCTTAGCTGAGCTTAAGGGTCACCCTCATTGGGGGAGGTTTTTCTAAAGGGTAATTAGCTGCCTCTGCAGGGCCGGCGCTGTTTTGACTCAAGGTTGTCCGGTAGTAGTTTGTGATGCAGGTTTCCCCTTGCTCTATACCAAACGGCTTTCTTTCCTCGAGAGGACTCTTGTGACGCGGGAACGCTTACTAAGCTGATGGAGTTTGACTCGCAGTGGGCATTCTTGTAACAATGCACTGTGGGGGTTTTCATGAGCAACTCGCGCTTCTTTTTTCTCTTCTTTTCTTCTACAGTGAGAATGGCTAGCCGAGTGACTTTGGAGTTAGAGTCTGATGTGCCTGGCCTTTTAGTTAACAGTCGTTTGGCTAATTTCGGACTGCGCACAGCTACGACTGCCCGTGATACGTCACATTTTAAGACTCTCACTCGTAGTATTTTTTGTGCGGGTGCAGGCGTTTGACCTAGCGCTGAAGAGTATCTCATAACCTCCATATGGTGGCATGTTGCTGGGAGTGGTTTCGTGCGGCACCATGGACGCATGTACCAGAACCACGTGTATAGATGGCCTGCCATGAAAATGTAATATCGGTCTAGTATGCCTTTGATGCATTAGCACTACACCCACTTGTTGCAAACATTTACTCAAATGCTGGGTCCCTTTCGACCCTGTGAAGCCGCACGTTTGGCAGACGCCACATTGGCCAGTGGGTTTGACCAGGGGTTTCCTTTTCGTCCTCTGCGTTTCCTCTTGGCAGCTTTCAGAGGAAGCATAAAGTTTGAGCCAGGTGTGCTGGCAAGATCAGCCTTAAGCTGAACGAGGACAAACGTGTTCTGATTAGGTTGTTTGCGGGTATCTGTATTCGTGATTACTCATATAATTTCGGGCAGGGGTCCCGGGAGCTGCTTTTACATCTCTTAGCTCCCACCTCAGTTACTACGAGAAAATTACCAGCTAATAAGTGAGGTGAGGCTATACTTGAAGTGCTTTTGGGATTAGATTTAACCAAGTCACTGCCACCACTCATCTCGATAATCAGAGAGGATCCCCGATATGTATGATCGAGTGAGATATGTGGTGCAGCAGGTGCAGTAGCCTGGGCTATATCGGTTGATCGAGACAGCTTGACCCACCACACAGTCGTCCGTTTAGGGAGCGGCGGTGGCGGCCAGCTGAAGATTGTACGTTTCACAGAAAACTTCTTGCCAAACTACTGGTATCGGGGATGAAAGCTCCGACTGGATGGGTGCATATGCGGTTATTTCCAAGAAGAATGGAGGCGATATAAAGCACGTCAGCATTCAGGGAACATGCAGGTGATAATAATACTACTAACGATATGGTAACTGAGACGGTATGGCCCTAACATGGAGGCATAAATTAGAGCTGAAGAGAGTCGATGTGGTTACAAAAGGGTGTTGGATCGGTACGGTGTAATTCCGTTAGTTTGGCTTAATTCGTTTTCCAACCGGATGACTGCAAGTCATATGCCACTGAGCGACTGTCCAAAACTTCTTTGGAGCTATTGACAGATAAAGCGGATTCAACCCCAACAGTTAACACGTTCAATCCGTCAAAAACTCAAGGACATAAAAAGTATCAACGCAAATAGGTTTTGTCTTCGACAGGGTGATTCTATTTGGGTTTCCACGAGGATTACCATATTGACCGTCCCGTAAAATTCCCCTGCTCATGTGACTTCAGATATTCGGTATCTTTAAGCCGTTATCAATTCACCGATTGGCATACACTAATCAAGGTATTAGAGGCCTAGGTCCCTCAGTCTTTCCTAGTTTTATTTTTTACTTCATCCATTCAAAACGTCGTGGCTACCGATGAAATGTTCCAGGGGGTTCGCGTTCCTTTTTGGATGTGGTGGATCGAAGTCCGTGTGAAATCTCTAAGTGAGATCCCATGTAGGTCTTAAAGAACATCAGGAAGAACTTCGAGGGGAGGATCCCTAAGTTTCCCTACGTGAAGTGTAGTACCACGTAGGCTGTGGATGCGTCTCCCAGATACCTTTGAATGTTTCGGCCAGTATTTGTCTCAAGTCTTTCTCCGTGGGTGTATGAAAAAAAAGGGTACCGTGAAGATATTAGGATCTTATCTGCATGTCTAATTTATCGAAAAACACTGTCCGATTTATTTCTAGGTTGAATGTCACTACATAGTTTTTCAAACACTAGGTAAACTTCTTACTTTAGCTTGTCTTATGGGCTTTCTCGGTGAAGTCATGAAATCACAAAACAAATCTTCACAAATACACCTACTGCAAGGAGTAACAAACCAACTCGCCTGAAATACTCATAAATGGATACTGAGAAATGAAACTATCTGAAAAGCTTGGCGAACTGTTTGACGTAAACGGTCGTTTCAAGGTTGTTGTTCTTATGGCTGAAGTGAGACTGAAGATAGGATATCGTGTCGAAGTAACAGGAAAAGATGTTGTGGGAACAGTCGCTTTCGTCGGAACAACACAATTTTCTGCCGGTCTGCGTGAAAATTACTCATTATTTGTGTAGGAAAGTGGGTAGGAGTAATACTAGATGAACCGAAAGGGAAAAACAATGGTACAGTACAAGGAAAACGCTACTTCACTTGTGAAGAAAATTTTGGCATTTTTGTTCGCCCATCGCAGGTGTGTAATTTTGTGAATTAGTCGTAAAAATGACTCTAGGCTTTGATACATATGTATAAAGACGGATTTAATTTTCATTCACGGCTGACTTTTTAATGAAAAGTATGGATTGCTTTGCTCAAAATCTAAGCAAAAGCACCACAAACCAAGGATGTTCCCAACCTTATAGAAACACTTAATAGGGCTTTCGTCAGTTCAGACTTAGTTACACAGAAAGGTCTGGTGCATTTGCTGAGTACCGATGAGAGTTGATCGACGTTTGGTCATTTTAGTAATGTTAGTTCATACGTTTCGAAGCAATGCGTGATCACTCGTGCTTCCGAAGGAGAAACACGGTGATAACTAATGGCAATATGTTATATCTGTGTCCACCGTCAAGTGAAGCTGAGGGGGCGCTATGTTGAACAATATCCTCCTGTATATCCGAAATAAGTGGTTGTCTGAGCACAGTCGTAGCAGGCGGTTGTCATTACCTCTTCTCCCAGCCGGGATTCCGAAGGTGCTATCTGAGTGTCTTTCTGTCTAATTTAGCCTACCCATTTGTTCACTGAAATCACCATGTCCTAACGTTTGATTTTCAGTAGGAGGCTAAAAAGTTCCCTGTAGGATTCATCCTTCACTTCATCCGAGCTGCATTTGTTGGATGTGCAAAGAGTGGTTACAAAGAGACATTGACTAGCTCCACTACTCTTTGTACCCGTCATTTCACTGTTCAGTCGAACAGCTCTCAGGCGACGGTCAGCTGGGATCCGGTTGAGCAGTACACTTTCTGCTGTAAGACAATACTACATCTACACCTGCATAACCGCAGCAGCTAGCTGTTGAGTTTCCAGAAACTTGAAGTGAATTTCTCAGGAACCATATTGGCATGGTGAGGTTAAGTGAATAACCGCGTTTGGGTCCTTCGTGTCTGTCTCATTAACAGCGCACTTCTATGACCCAACATGTGCGAGGTTTTGAATAGTGAAGCTTGTTTTTAGATTTGCGAGAGGGAATTTAAACAATCGAAGCTGCAGTGTATAGTTTGGGTCATGGTTTCATGAGGCCAGGTATTCTGTTTCATGAACTCAGATCGTTATCAGTAACTGCAGAGCTGGAAGAAATTAAAGATGACGGACAGTTTATCCAGAGGTAGAGGGAAGGTTGGAAGGTGGATGATGATCTGGTCAATGCTGCATGCCGAAAGAGTTGTTGGGGCGGCTAGAACTTCCTGGCTTCCCACACCGGGGAAAGTTACTTCTTCCTGAAGTAGCTGAGAAGGAAATATTATTATCATTTTCATGATTGTTACTACTATTGTTATTAGTGGTGCGTGACAACCCCGCAAAACATCTGCTTGGAGCCGGCCACATAGCCTTTTTAAAAGACTTAGTTTCGCTGCCGCTGATTGTAGAATACCTTAGGGCAGGGAGTGCTATTTCTAGGGTTGACATTTCTTCATTTCTCTCAGTGAAGAAAAAATCAACATAAACTGCTGATTATCCGTGAGAACAACCCTGTTGCTATCGCTCCGTTTGAATTAAGTAATAAACTTACACCTAAAAGATCGTGATCTTAAAAAAACTCGAAGGGTGAATTTTGCAAATATATATGTAGCTTTTGAGTTGCATGAGTTGCTTCCACCTTATTCTCTAAAATTTTCGTGATTTCGTCCCGTCACCAGCTCCATACTGTTGGCAGCTTTGCCCACTTCTGCAACTAATGCTTTGGATTGTTATAAAATGGTTTCCATGGTTTATTGACTGACTGACAAAATCAACGTAAAACCTCACACACCGGTGAATCGGCTCAAGTTGCCATACTTCAAATTAGGGCAAAAAAAGCACGTGAATAGAAAGAGAGTAATATCATAGTTGACGAAATTGTGTGGGAGAATAAACAATTTAAAGATAACGGTTAGTACAAATATTTAAGCTTTAGAAAGTGTCAGAGGCAGTGTCAGTGGTTTAGTGAAACATGTTATGTTCTCGGCTTTTATCGAACCATATTGCAGTTTGAAATGAATGCTTAATCTTACCGAAAGCTGTTTACTTCCCTGGAAAGAGCTGAATGTGTAGTGAAGGTTTCGTAGAAGGTGGCTTTAATTCCTAATCGTTAAAGTGCTAAGTATAAGGAACCTTCAGAGGAAGATCAAGAAAGACCAATTGGTCTCAACACAACTGTTGAATGTATGAAAACATCCTGGTTATCTCTGTGCAAAACAAAAGAGAAAGCAACTCAAATATAGGTTTTAGCGTGTGAAATAATTATATGCGTCGAAAAAAGGGGTACAAAGGGCATGTAGGTAACATACACAACTTTGTTAACATGCAGATTACCTAAAGTTTTTCAGCAGTCTCTCCTTTTGTCTGTTTTATCAGCTAAAATTATTTAGGTTCAAAAAGATATCAGAAAGTCACATTAAAACGTGATACCAGTCCATGTAGTCTCTAACTGTTAGTCTGAACTATGGAGGTAGGTGTAAATTGTCTGACTGGGATCCTCTAAATTATAAGTCAGTGGCTGAAAATCTGTTGCAATGGCGCAGATGTGTACGCTCTTTGCCCTCGTCGAAGCCTTAAATATTTTCGTAAATGTCCATCTGTTTTCATATGTTCTTATCTTCTTTTATGATATTCGTTTTCGATCCTTTTCTGTGCATGGTTTTGTAATATATGACAAGGTAAACGGATGCACTTCTGTTCAAGGTTCCACATTGATATTTTCTATTTCTTGTTGCCTGTTGTATATTTACAATTGGGAACATCTTAAAAACATTTCTTTGTCTAGTGTATTCATTCTTTAAAAATTTAACCATTAAGTTCTGGTCAAAACAAAAGGAAGCATTTTCTTTTCTTCACACTTATCCCAAAATAACAATATTAAATTCGTCTGGTAATTAAAATAGAATTTATCTGCCTTTTCTTTCTTCACCACCCAGCTTACTCTTCTGGATAGTGGCCAGGAAGCATCGAGCATAATGGAGTTGTCTACATCAAGCGTTCTGTCTGAATCAGGCGCAATTTCAGAATCAAGTACATCAAAAATATCTCTAAATGAAACTCCCAACCGTACTGGTTCGACAACTTCTTTGTCCACAGGTTTAAAACCTCCAGAAGTTCTTAAAGGTACTGAACATTTTAATTCATGTTTATTTTTCTTCATGGTATTATGTTGCCTCGTCAAGGTTTCCTGATCTTAGCTTCCACCGTTTAGACGAACTCTGTTTTAGCTTCTTGTTAACTGAAAAGTTGCTAATGTGAATAACCTTTGCCGTGATCAAACCCGTTTATATTCATTTTCAATGTATCGTATTATCACACTGTAAATGATTATAAGAAGCTTCGTTACCGTCGAACATTGAGTAACCGACTGATCACTTGCCACAAAGTAGCCAATATTATCTTGTTTAGTTTTCACGACTGAGTCCCATTAGAGTATGTCCAGCATAATTAATCACCGTTTTTGCACTATTGACAAGTTTTCAAAAAAGGAGGAGAGTATAAACATTTAGGCTATCATTCAAGATTCAAATTGCTGCTTCATATAATTTTTCCTTCACACGACCGAGGATGTAGGCTTACCGGAAGTGATGAGATTTGATGTTGTTAACACTACTCGAAATTGAACTATATATACTACAATGTAATGAACATTCTAAAGAAGATAGCAGAAAAGGGAAGTGGTTGTACACAGTGTTATTCTACACCTTACTTACACTGGAGAAAAACTATCCAGCTGCCAAAAAAGTTTATGTGTATCAAACTAACTACTCATTGAAACAATCCAAAGTGAGCGAGTTCCCAATTCTTGTTCTTCTCAGCTGTATCTACCAATTCATATATACGTACCAAAGCTAATACATTAGAAGGGCAGAAGAAAGGGTTCTTGTTCGCGTTTTTGAACATACGTGAAAGAATTTGATTCTTAAAGGTTCATAGAGTTTGAGTAGCGCAATCACTCGACACTATACATACTGGTAAGGTATAAAATCTTCCCGATCGATCTATAAACAACGAAAACCTAACCTCTTGCGCTCTCCTGAATCAGTTTCAGTTAAAAAAATTCAAACCTGACTGATGTATTCAAAAAGATACCGTTATCACTCTCACATTACGCTGGTAATTGAATTCTCAAAGTTTGTAACTACAAAAATTTCATGACCTCCTGACCCCCTGTTTCTCATTTCCTCTTTCAATCCATTCCAAAAACTACTCTCACTTTCCGACCCTTCTTATTACTCAACATGATGAAAATCTGGTAACCTTTTATTACGCTTGCTTAATCATGATGTCTTGTTTTACTAGTTCTAGAATAACATTGTGTACAAATTCCTCCCTCTTCTGCTTTCTTCTCTATAATATTCATTGTATCATTGCACTTAAACTGACTCTTAAGTAAGGTTCATAACTTCATCAAATTTCATCACTTTTGGTTAGCCTAAATCTACGTTATTTTCCATCACATCCAAACATTGTTGTCAATTTATGAAGTTACATTGTATAGTTTGTTGTTTATCATAAACATTATATTTTATGGGTTATACTGCGCCCTAGGAGAATCCACAAAATATATGCAGGCTAATTCTGTTCTTCTTACTTTGTCTAAAACATTTCCATCCTAGTGGATTTGGGTACATTCACTTCTAAACTAGTTAAATCTAACTGGCCTTACTTTTGAAAGGTCAGAGAGTACATGGACGCCCATAGTGGTTTCTTTCCCACTGTTAGATGCCTTCTTTGGTTGGTAAGCTAGACTTCTAACATTGGAAAAGAATATTTGGTTCTTGACATTGATCTATTAAGTTGCGGTTGTGACCAGCATTTCCTAACTTCAGTCAGTGTTATAGTTCGATTACTCTTCAGCATTATCGATTAGTATCTGTTTTTACTGTTGACTTTTACTTTCTCCGAATGTCACCACTTCCTAATAAAAATTCAAACTGACTGAACTTAAATAACACTGATTGTAGCTCATCAGTTCAAAAACGATGCGCTCTTCATACGAAGTGCAAGTTGTCGATTCGATCATGGAAGAACTTAAAGTTTGACAACGCTTATACTTCTCAGTGTGGTGAAGACTTCTAGTCTTTCTTAACTCTCAGTAGTTCTTCCAAAGATTCCAGTTCAAGAAAGTAATCTTTTAATGATCTCACTTTTTCCTGTTCATGTTTTGCCTAGTCTTCTATGATCCAGATTAATTTCTGTTTTATTTATTATTAAATCTTAATATCATGCTTGCATAGGACGAACTTCAAAGTCAGCAGCTCTGAAGCGTTCTCCATTAGCTAATTCCACTCCATCAGTGAAGGAAAAAACTAGTCTAGCTGCCCCAGCTGGTAGACGTACGTTATATTTTCTGAGTGAATGCTTAAAATAAAAATAAATACATATACCGGTTGGCTTTAACCTAATACTGTCTAACAGCTGAGTTGCTTACATGCTACTCCATATACCTTTAGCGTACCTAATGCTTATAATCAGTGCTTTAAACATACATTGTCCATAGTTTTGTATTAATTGCCTAATTCTTACTGTCACATGTTTTTTTCACAGGTCCATCTGAAACTAGAAAGATATCACAAGTAGGTTTTATCGATTATGGTTTTAGTTATATGCTTTTTGTTTCCTCTTTAAACATTACGCATGGTCGATGTGACTTGTTTGTAGCCTGGGTTTGTAACAAGGAGTCATTTCATACTCGTTTCGCTTATTCCGAACTTAGGTGCTGTGCTTTCACGCCTGATAAAAAGTAATAAAGCCAGTCATTGAAACCGTTTGCTAACTGATTGTTTGGTATTATTTGAGATTACATCCAAAGATTGTGTTTTATTCCTTTTCTATTTCTCTTCAGAAATGCAGCTATTTTATTCTATTATTCAGACCTATTTTTGAAACTATCTTTTAGCCCATGCTATCCTCACATGCTGTCATCTCTTCCAGTACGAAAACACAATGACTGGCGCTCATGCTTGCTGTATAGCTTTTGAAACATTCGTACGAAATTGTGCGTGAATTAAATCAGCTATAACTTAGGGTTGTATAGTTATCCAATACTGAAATGGGTGTCATACACATCTTTCCATTTATAAGTTTAAAACTAAAAAGAACAACGATTTTAGCAGAATAACGTGGGATCATTTTATTTCGTCAGTTTTTCTTCAACTGCTCACAACCTACATTATCAAAATAAATGATTATAATTGAAATTTAACATGCTTTAATACACAAAAATGAACATCTGGTCATTGAGACAAACGGAATTCGACACGAGATAGCAAGGAAAAAAATCAAAAGAAGACGGACGTGCGTTTTGTCCTACTTAGGCCTAGTCAGCTGGATGTGCCTATCTCCCAGTGAGCGACATTGTTCCCGCTAAGACCATCCTTTTAGTGTTATTAACTTTAACAATAAAACGTATGAATACCGACTTCTTGCCAACTACAATCTTTTCCGGGCTGTTTCCTTGAGTCATACCATATTTATTGACTGAGCTGTAGTTCAGTGGTTTAGTGAGATGACTGTCAACTAAGTGGGTCGCTTGTTCGAAATCCACTCCACTTACTGAGATCTAATCAGCCAGGTAGTATCATTAGCCATCACACAATAGGTGTGGCTCATTGTCCACTGCACAGATGTGCGCAAGGTGGCTTAGTGCGTCCCTCTCTCTATCTATTGGCCCACTTCTGCAGATTACCGTCGTTCCATCGACCGAAATGAAAAAAATGTGCTCAGCAACCTTGTGCACACCCGTACAGTAGACAGTGAGTCACACCTATTTTGTGAGGGCTAGTGGCACTACTTGTCTGCAAAGACTTCAGTAGGTGGAGCAGCATTCGAACCCGTGACCTACTGGTTGTAAGCCAACTTCGTAAATCAAAGAGTCACAGCTCCACGTTTCTCCATCATCTATAGCTCTCCATCCAATTTATCACTCGAACAAATCATTTTCGCCCCGTAAAAACAGCTAGTACTTATTTGTTACACTGGATAAAAGCTGAATAAATTCAGGCATAGCCCATTTCACGTACTCTTTATGTGAATAAACTTTTGAAAATTATCACCAATTTTATATTGTATGGCACTGTCAAAACATCGAATTTATCATCAGTTTCATGGTGTTTAGCAAACTCCGTGTTAATGTAAGTGTGATTATAGATTTCTAGCAAAAGGGATGTTCATTGTAAATCATTGCACACGACAAGCATGCTATCCATAGACCTGGAGTAAAATGTTTTTTCTCCGACGCCACCTTCTAGCTTTATATTTTTTAGATCAGCCACAAGGATATCAGCTATTACAGGATTCAATGGGCTTCCCATAGTCATTCCAACAGCATGATGATAAAATTTATTGTTGAACTGAAACTGAATTCAACCTACTTTGATCTGGGCAATCACATAGTGTCATAAGCCTTCATTTTCTAAGTACGGTCCATAGCTTTTTATATATTCCTGTGTTGATTTAAGTTACATCATCAAAATATAAGGTTGGTTTTTATTTGGCAACGTGGATTTCATACAGCCGCAAGCAGTAGAGAAGATTTGTAGCTCATTATCTGGACGATATTTGTTTTCTTTTCTCCGAGCTTTGAATTAAGTGCTGTTGAAGTCTCCTAGCCTGGCGATGAAACGCTCAAAAACAAATTTCAAAGCTGGGAGAACAAACAATTATCATAATCGTAAGTGTTCGTGGTTGAGAGTATGTATGCCAAGGTCGGATGTTCTTCTCCGAAACGGGATTGTAGCTAAAAAATGTATCATTAGAAGGTTAGACATAGCCTTTAAAATAAATTCTGTGACGAGCCAAGATTCAGATGCAACATCACCATCCCTGATATAGCAGATGTGTACAGCAGTTGGTCTCTATCTGTAACTAAGTTAATATCATTCGTATAATGTACAGCACAGTCAATAATCAGTTTTGTAACTCCGCTTTTCTCAATCGTCTACTGTTTGTACTGAACGTCAGTCACCAAAAATGCTTTAAAGCAGCATGGTGTGAGATACACAATCCACAACAGTTTTGTGAGGACGTCCGAAAAATAGGTCATAAGAGTGAATCCTCCTTGACCCGTCAAACTTTGATGAGCGAAATAAAATCAAAAGCTCTTACACAACAAGCTCGGTTCACAATGAAGTACGGAGATCTAAGTGGCTGCTTACTTGTTGCATTCACGAAGTCACATGATCGAGTTCATTTCACTTACTTTGATTTGGATAGTTAAGTTGGATCTTTATCACTAGCATACCATGTGACAACTTTTGTTTCGTGATAGAATCCATTCAGACATAGATGTTTCACTTTTCACTGCAACCACAGGCTATGTACAGTCCCCAACACTAGAAGAAGTGAGAAGCGGTAGGTAGCCTGAAACGGGAAGGGCAGCAGGACCAGACGGACTACCTGCTGAGGTATACAAGAATGGTGGTAGAGTTCTCTTAGTCAGGCTAACGGAAGTGTTAGCCAGTATATGGGAATCAAATACGATCCCCTCCGACTGGTCTAAGTCACTGATCATCCCAGTCTTCAAGAAAGGCGAGAAGTCCTCTTGTGATAACCACAGAGGAATCAGCCTGACAAACATAGTGTCTAAGATCCTAAGTTCTATAATTCTCCGACGCCTGAGTGGAGCTCGGGAACAGCAAGCCCGAGAAAACCAGGCAGGCTTTAGACCTGGCCGTGGATGTATCGACCAAATATTCACACTGCGCCAGGTCCTGGAACATAGGCATGCTTACAGACGCCCGACAATAGCTGTATTTCTCGACCTGAAGGCGGCATTTGACTCCGTTGATCGAGAAGTCTTATGGCAGTGTCTGTCACTGAAAGGCGTGCCTAGTAAGTACATCACCTTATTGAAAGCTCTCTACTCGAACACTTGTGGGCATGTTAGAGCCTATGGTGAGTTGTCCAGGGAGCTATACTCATCAAGTGGTGTCCGTCAAGGATGCCCACTATCCCCATTCTTATTTAATTTTATCATAGATATTCTTATGGAGGTTTCCCTCTCGTCACCTAATTACAAAGACGTTGACCGGACCACAGGTGAATTTTCCTTAGATCTAGAATATGCAGATGACATAGTCCTGTTAGGTGAAGACGCTGACAAGATGCAGAGTCTTCTGAACACTTTGAGTGGGAATTTGAGAATGTTTGGGATGCGATTTTCACCACCCAAATGCAAATTTTTGCTCCAGGACTGGTCTTCAGCGGTACCGCGGTTAACAATAGAGAGTGAAGTGGTTGAGTGTGTTGACCACTTCACTTACCTGGGAAGTAGGATCAACTCCGGTGGGTTAGTTGCCGATGAGATTTCTGCACGGATACAAAAGGCTCGATTGGCTTTTGCCAATTTGCGCCACCTATGGCGCCGCCGTGATATTCGTTTGTCTATTAAGGGTCGCGTGTACTGCACAGCAGTCCGCTCTGTTCTACTGTATGGCTGTGAAACATGGCCATTGAAAGTGGAAGACATGAGAAGGTTACAGGTATTTGACCACCGTTGCCTTCGTAGTATAGGACGTATTCCGTGGTGTCACCATGTGAGTAATGCAGAAGTTAGGTGTAGAGTTTTAGGGAGAAGAGGTAAGTCAGTCGACGAGGTTGTGAACCTTCATCGACTGAGATGGTTGGGACACGTACTACGTATGCCTAGTCACCGATTGCCTCGTCACACAATGTTGGCTGAGGTGGGTTCAGGCTGGAAAAAGGCCCGAGGTGGCCAGACTAAAACATGGCACCAATGTATGAAGTCTCTGACTGTTGGTTTAAGCCATGTAGGACGATGCAGACTAGGTGGTTGGGGTCCACGGGACAAGAGGAACCAGTGGTTGGAGACCCTAGGTGATATGGCTCAGAACCGAAGTCAGTGGCGCAGATGTATACACACATTATCCTCATCTTAACAACGCTATACCGAATCTCACTATTTTGTCACTCCTCTTTCCTTTCTTCTCATACTTTATATTTCTTTTGACTGCATTCACTTATCTTCATCCTTCACCTCACTACCTTTTTACTTGATGTGCTGATATGAGGTGTGGCAACTCGGACCGTTACGCAGTAATGCCTGGTCCTATGTTGATAATGATGATGATGATGATGTAAGTGTGCGTTTCTGCTTACTGTAGTTGAGAATATGTGGTAGTTGATCGATTCCTTTCACAACTTAACACGTATTGAATGCACACTTGTGATTAATTCACAATCAATTAAGTGGTATAGTTTAGTCACAGCAACACAGATACACCCACATACCTCTTCATAGTTAAGTGTTTGTTGTATTTCTTTTTTGTTCATGTGCGCCCCATTTCTGTTTAACTGGTCTCATGCTTTATTTCTCACTAGCCTACGTTAAGGCGACCTAGCTTGGTAAGATTGATTTTTTCTGCCTAGAAAAATAAAATTAGTTTAAAATTTATTGACGCAAATGTAAACCTGCTTCATTAACCGTAAAGCTCCTAACCAAAATACCCTAACTATTAAAACTGTTGTATTTTCAATGTGGTGAAGATGTCCTTTTTTATAAGTGAACATTTACAAAGTATTTCTTTGAAATCAAAGAACCATCTTCGGGTTTTTCACTGTATGAGGAAGCTAGTCAGAGGCTTATACTCTGAGCAGTGTCACGGGGAAGATTATATTTGTAACTTACAGTCAAAGTGATACCACTAAATCTCAGGACTCTGCGATGAACCCAGAATGTATGTCCTTGAATATATATCTAACTCCAAAACAGCTTATCCATGTTCATAAAGTTAAAATAACCCAGAACATAGCAGTTCCTATTGCCATATATAGGAACACAGAACAGTACAGCAGGAGAATACGACAAAGAAGAAAAAGATTTTGTGAGAGGAGACTAGGGATACTTCATAGTAAATTAGTCTGGAATAAAGGATAAATGCATTTGTGCCATTCAGTTTACTTTAATTTATTACTCTGAAAGTTTCCAACGATGATTTTTCATTATTTCAGTGATTCGAATTCATATACTTTAATTTTGCTTACACTATTTGGATTAACATTTATTAGCCTTATAGCTTCTTATCGCTGATAGTCAGAAGTACTGTGACGATGGCTTTGCTTCTACGCCTACTTTCCTCAAGTGTACCATGTTAGAATCAAAGATGATAGTCAATATATATTACATCCCAACCATCTCTCAGTTATTATAATGGGACCTGAACTTCAACCATCCCCAATGCCTGTTGATTTCACTGTCTGTCCCTATTTCAAGTTTTCGAAATATTTACCTAATGGTGATGTACTTGGTTATGGCTAGCAGACGTCGAAAAATTCTCTCCAGTATAAAAACGAAGAATAACATGTCAAGAAATAGTTATAACTAATACCCGTTGTATAAGAGGTGGCTATTGTGTCTCAGTGGCCTATTGAATAACGCTTTGGTGTTTGAAGCGATGGATACGAGGTTCGAGCCTCAGTGGGAACAACACTCACTGAGGTAGAGGTACATCCAGCTGACAAGTCCGAACTAGAATGCAATGCTCATCCTGGATTCCTCTGCTAGCCACAACCAAGTAAATTGCCATAAATAAATATTTAGGCAATATTGAGGCATCCGCATAGGACCCCATATGCCAACAGAGGTCGAACAATTCGATCCAGTATAACAACGGAGAACTACAAGTATATCAACAAATGCTTTTCAACTACATTTATTCCTATTTTCACATATGATCCAGTGTTATTTATTCATTTATGCTTCTGCAGTGCAATAGCATTATACAGTTAAGCTAACAGTTGTTTGCTGTTCGCACAGATTAGCTAGTGATTGTATAGTCTTTGTAGTTTACTTCTAGTACAGTTGACAGTTGTACGTCAATTCATGCAGTTGTTTTATCTTAACTACACTTTTCTGACTATTAAATCACTTGCTTGCTAACAGATTACCTACAGCGAAAATATCTATCTTCTTTTATCTTAAATTATGGTTTGGAGAAAGTTAGGTATTCAGTGCCTTGGCACAAGTTGGTCTGCTTTACACTCCTAAAACCCTAGGCATTCTGAGGTGATGTTGGTCGCCTTTCTATATTCGACTATCACTGTCCCTGTAATACTCGCGTTTGGTGGCAAATCCATATGGGTGATGGTGAGGCTTTTCAGCAAGCGCTTCAATGTTTTAAAAACATGTATTCAGGTGACTTAGTTATTTTACAGTACTAGCGTACCTTAACTGAATGTACTTAACTAGTAGCGTCTTATCAGTTTCCATATTCGGTTTTATTTTCCAATTCTTTGAATAGCCGAAAGAAATGAAGAGGTGATTAGCTTATGATATGGCGCACTGTAATACTGTAATAGGTTTGCTTAGTGAACATCTTTGGGTGTATCGTTAACCCTTCAACAAAGCTTAAGACATCATGCAACTTTGGCTTGAAACATTACTGGACATCTCAAAACTTAAACCAGTTAGATTTCTGATGTACCTTTCTTACAGTTCTTTACAAAAACAATAAAATGAAGTTTAACTTGTAAGACAACTAAATATGAATTTGGTTCATTTGGTTCCGTTTTAATTTGGGATACTTACCTACTATTGTGAGAGTTTACTTTTGTTTCTGTCATTATTATTATTATTATTATTATTATTATTATTATTATTAGTCCCTTGGGTTCCTAATGGAACACAGGGCTTCAGTAGCACGTCTCCAGTTAACTATGTTCTCTGAGATCTTTCCAACCTGGCTCCACGACAGCCCACAAGCTCTCATTTCCTCCTCGTACGATCTCCTCCATGTCACCCTAGCCTCGGACGCCCAACTCGTCGTTCCCCATCGGGGTTCCACTCAATATCCTGGCATGGCGCGTGTTGTCCCCAGTCGGCCTTCTCAGTGTATGCCCAATCCATCTCCACTTCCTTCTACATATTTGTTGGGTGATAGGTTCTTGGTTGGTTCGTTCCCAGAGCTCCTTGTTGCTTATTCTTTCTGGCCTTCTCATCAATGTGATATGATTATGAGCAATAATTTATGCTCGAAACGTCATCTAGTAAATAATACTAGATCACTGTGTGTTATAAATCAAATAAACAAGTCTAATCTGGAATTAAATTCTATCACAGTGCCCAAGTTTTACACCTATATTAACTTCCTTCATTAATCTGAAATCAGTGTGGAGATCTACTGCACTCAGCATGAAGCGTGAACAACATCCGGATCTTCAACACTAATATCAGTCAAGCGGGTCAGTGCTTCTCTATGTGATGGTTGAGAGATTTGGCACGTTACGAAAAGCATTTCCAACAAACTGCAGACATACATGAACAGCTGTCACCTACGTTCACTTGATACTGACACTGAAGATCAGACAGATGGCCAGAATAATAAGAATAAGCAACTGGGAAGTCTGACTGGCAGGTAACGAACCAACCAAGAACCTATGACCCAACGAATATGAAAAAGAAGAAAGTGGAGATAGATTGTAGTGGACTGGATATACACTGAAAAGACCGTTTAGGGACATCACGCGCCAGACCAGGCCGTTGAGTGGAAGACGAATGGGAAACGACGAGTTGGGCGTCCGAGGCGAGGTTGACATGGAGGAGATTGTGTGAGGAAGAAATGGAGGCTTCTGGGTAGTGGTGGAGCCAGGTTAAAAAACAAGAGTGCAGAGGAAAGAGTGAGATGGTGACGTGCTACTGAATCCCTATGCTCCACTGGAAACCTAAAGGACAAATAATAAGTCACCACTCCAATAGCTACCAGTTTCCTTGTTTTGTAGTTTTCACTGAAAAATCAGACCTGCATTCGCTTCAAGCATAACTAATTGCCATATTTTCGTTAAAATGCTATTACAATATTTTATTCATTATGTCGAATAACGCGGGTGTATTTTTAATCGTCCGAGTCTTCTACAGATGGTGGTTCACACAAAATTATATATCCTCCAGTTTTATCGCTCTTTAGCTTAATGATATAACCCTTTAATCCTATTGTGAAAATGCCTAGTGGTGACGGTACTTCCTTAAGTCATAGGGCTATCACAGGACTTAAGGTTACCTACTAGTTCCAGTGTTTCTTCATCACTTTTCCACTCTGTGTCTGACTTATTTCTAATATGCCTAAAAAGACAACGTATCTGCGCAATCATCTAGCTTCGCTTTTCTAGCCTTGGTTCACTTCATCTCACTATATCCAAAATTAAAACATTTAAACTTTTTCATTCTTTTTTGTTTATTAAAATCGTTCAAGCTTCCATCAGCTGGTCTAATCCAGATCTTACACGAAATGTTGTACCACCAGCTTCAAAGACTATACAATCTGGAACTGTCTCCACGAACGCTGAAAGCCCTGCTCGCAAGTCTTCTGAAAGTAAATCTACTACAGAAGCTGCTCAATCAAGTGATATCCTTAGTAAATCTGTTACATCAGATTTCAAATCTGAAAGCCCAATTCGTAAAGTGAGTGAAACAAAGCTTCCCGCTACGACCTCTACTCCTACTACTACCACAGCTGTTGGCAAGTCCCCGACAAATCTTTCTCACCTTTCAGAAGCCCTACAAACTCCAGGATATGGTGAGGTAAAAGTGGCTGCTTCAAAGCTTGAACCTGAAAATCCATCAACCAAACCTAAGGATATTCTGTCTCAAAGAATATCAAGACCGTCTGTTTCAATTGCACCAAGTGATGGTGGAACTCATTCCCCAGACACAGAATTAGAGTTGACTAATCTGCGTGCTGAAATAACAACATTACAGGACCAAATTCAAGCGCTGAAAGTCAAACGAGAAGAGGATAAAACTAGAATACAAGAATTAGAACGTGTCAAGATTCAGTTTGCTCAAATGGAAGAAAATAGACGTTTAATGCGAGAACAAGCAGCTGAATTACAGCGAGAAATCGCTCAACTAAAAACAGTATGTTTTTTCCAATAATTTCAACCATTTTTCCGTAGTACTATCCGATCAAAATAGCTATAGTCTACAGACTAAGTCCACTTAACCGATAATTAACAAATAGAGCATTCTTTTGTAAGCACTTCTATAACATACTATTAGCTCGACATACAACTGTAGATATAGCCTTCAAATTCACTCACTTGAATAACGGATTAGTATCGGTAACTGGCAGAACTCACATCTTACCCACTTGTTAGAGTTTTAGTACATGGACTTCAGTGGTGTATCAATTACCAGGAACTATAAAGATGCATTACCAGCAACATGATTTCACCGTTTAAACAGGGCAACTCAAAATCTGTTAGCATGGATTCTTTTTTTGTTTAAAAAATTGCTTTTAAGGCGATTTACAGAAACGTTCGTGTTTGCATCATTTAAGAAACAAATCTATTGTCTAGCTCACCAGTCATCATTTCGATACCCGTTCATGCATTCCAAATCCGAAAAGAGAGATAGGACTGTTTCTTTGTCTCATGTGGACAACTGTATCACATTTAGTCATGGGTTCCAACACCGCTCTACCTACCTAAGTTTGGGCAGCCAGGTAGTATCAGTAGCCTTCACACTCTAGGTGTGGCCCATTCTCTACCACACTGATGTGCCCAAGATAGCTGAGTGGATTTCAAAAATTAGAAAATTAGTTATATATAACAGCCAGTATCAGTAGTTGGAATCCATCCATATTCATCAGCAAATTTCACTATCCAATCAACAGCAATGATATTACACTACATATATTGATCAATTAGTGTATTGTATTGATTAATACTCTGCAAACAGTCCATTCTTACAGAGGATTATTCGTGATAGAAATCGATTACTGGTTATGTCTCGCTCCTATAGTTGTGAAAATAGTCTGTGCACCTAATACGGAACGCCAATAGCTCTTTAGCTGCCAGAATAAGATTAGGTATTGAATTTATAGTACCAAAACTCAACTCAAGAATCTATCTGAAGGAAGATAGATTTATCTACTTTGTCGTCTCATACTGATATTCAAGTTTGTATCTATTTGTTGTACAGGAGGTAAAATGTTCGGAATTATAAAGAATTATGTAAGTTTTAATATAATCCCAGCGTGTTCAGAAAGTCGAAAAAGAGATTTTTTTGGACATTTCGCTGTGTACGCCACAGTTTCCTCAGCAGAATATTCGGATTTTTATTCAACATCAAAATATATACTGTCAACTGGTACATGTAGGAATTTCTGTCTTAAACCTGACTTGGCGCTCAACTTCTTTCAGAACATTCATAACAACTATGGCCTGGATGTTTATAATTATAAAGGATGATTATGACGAGCATATTTGTAAAATACTCGTTAGCGGACACTAAAAATATTCGAAATAAACAGTACTCCATTGGCAATTTTGTGCTCACTGTAAGATAGTAGGATAAAAGATAAAGTTTTGAAATCTGCTTTGGATAGTTTACAATTTTAAAGTTTCATATGATTATTTCAGCCTAGCAATGGAATCGAGGACGTGTGTTTCGTCCTATTTTGGACTCGTCAGCTGGATGTGCCTGTACCCCAGTGAGTGGTGTTCCTACTGGGACTCGAACCTCGTACCTATCTCTTCAAAAGCCAAAGCATTGTGTGAATAATTGTAGAGTTAAAAAATTATATCAAACGATAACTGACTGTTTATAAACTAACTACTCGAATCATGTAAATGTTCATAGAAGTATACGACATCCTGAAAAGAATTGTACTTCATATTTCAGTTTCTCTGGATTTCCTCTTTCTGGGCTGTCTGGTGCAAAGTTTAGCAGCTCAAGCCATTGCACTTTTATATGAGATTCTGCAATGTGCTTTATGGTTTCTATGCTTCAAAAGATAAATAGTTTGTTATTTAATATCATCCTAATCTAAGCTGTTTAGAATTCAACATTGGGATAGTGTAATAAACAGGGAATCATTTCATCTTTGTTACTTCAAAAGAAACTGGATGATAATTGTATCGATTAAAATAGACTTACTTATGCACTAAGCCGCCTTGTTCACAACATTGGTATGCAATGAGCCACATCTGTTGTATTAATTAATAATACTACCTGGCTGCCGAAACCTCAGTAAGGGTGAAGCGAGGCTCAAACGCGTGAACCACGTAGTTGAAAGTCATCTCCTTAAACTAATAAACCATATCTCCACGATTAAAACAAAATAAAAATCTGAATGAATGATTTGATAGGGAAGTATATCAAGCAACACTTGTTCAACTTTTATCCTGTCTTCTTGTGTCTTACAACCGAGTTTAATCTGTCAGTAAAGCTACAAGATAGGCAAACTTGTATTTCAAAAAAAACGATAGTATCTATAATTATGAGTAGCTTGTTTGCTTCCAAAAGCGTTCATTTGAATTCATATTTTTTTATCAGGAAAAAGCTGAGATTAAAGAAGCATTTGATCGTTATCGTGATGAAGTATCTGAAATGGTTGAAAATGTTGAAATGGCTACTTTGGATAAAGAAATGGCAGAAGAAAAGCTAGAATCATTGATTGCAGAAATGGAATTACTCAAAGAGCAAGTAGAAGAACTAACTCTCGAGAATCAGATTTTAAAAGAAGAATCTGAAGAAAAAGGCGAGTTATTATAAGATTTACTTTGAAGAGGAAATGATTTCAGATGAATATGTTGGCGATTTCTGATAAATTTGAAGGTTTTTCTCACCAGAATTTCGGAGAAAACACTGAAGATCAGAAAGTGCTAGTCCAATTTCTTCTTTACACTCCTAGAGTTCAGCATAGCTGAAAATCGGTCAAAGTGGCCCAGATGTATTCACATCTTGACATCCATAGCTTAAATATTCACACTAACCTTTTCCTCAGATTGCTTATTCTCTCATACAATTTTTTCTACTTTAGTCTCACTTCTAAGTATGGCAGTTGAAGCAGATCTACTTATGCATGAGGTTCTATGTTGATTTTGTCAGTCTGTGAATCTATCCATCTATCGAGGTCAACTTTTATGTTAGACAGTTCGTAACAACTAGCTTTCTTGAGGTTCCAAATGAACCCCACTAATGCTTAATAAGAAGTGTGAAACCCCTAGCATTAGATGTAGTGTGACCAGTTGGTTTCTGTTGAACTCCATTTTTCGATCGACCGAGATAAACCAGCAGTGAAAAGTGTATCATTGTATTTCCTAAATATACGTCAATTATTTTGCTGTTGCTTGCAAGAATCAATATGTTCAATTACTTTCAATTGAAAACATTTGTTGTTTAAGTCTAATATATTTCTAACCTTTATTGAAGAAATTGTTAGATGTCCCTATTTATAATAGTCTATTACCTTTTCCTATCCTTTGCTACACTCCTCCTAAAATAATAGGTGGTGCTGCTACTACTGTTAGTGTTGACGGTGGACCAACTCCGTTACAATTTAAAAATCTTGAACAACAAAATGAACGAATGAAACAAGCGCTTGTCAAGTTACGAGATTTGGTTAATCAAGATAAACAAGAAATTACGGCTCTTGGTAAACAGGTAAACTGCTTATTTCTTAATATGTGCTATTTTTTGTTGTTATGATGAATTCAAGTGTATCGACGTTTTGGCCAAATCGAGACGTGGTACCAGTTTATCAAGTCTCTGACTCTTGATCTGAGCTACATAGGGAAGTGCAGACTACCTCTTTGTGAACCCTGAGACCATTGGTATCCCTGGTCGGTTGCTGACTGTTGTTGACATAGCTGAAAATCAATCGCAATGGCGTGGATGTATTCACTCTTTGATGGCTTCTAAAACTTGAGTGTTTTTACTTACCTTCGTTTTCAAACTCTCCTCCCATACTTCCATGTTAGTCTTCTATCTGTGAAATGTGGCAACTTGAGCTAATGCACTTACATGCGAGAAGCTGCGTTGATTTTTGTCTGTCTCTCTTTCTGAACAAGACGCATGTTTTGTCCTAAATCACTTTCTTATTCTATTTTATACAACCACTGACAACTTTAATGATCAGATTATTAGCATTGTATGAAATAATGACGTCTAGTTTTAGCTTATGAACTAAATCCACTAAAACACTGTGGGATGTGTCTTTAGCTATATGAGCTCTTCGTATTTCGAAAGGCTGGATAGACAATCCAAAATTTCCAAGTGATATAGAATATCTAAACTTCGAGATAATTTTCATGGTGCTTCTTTCGTTAAGCTGAATAATTTAGTGCCAATTTTTTCACTATCATGGCAAACAACATCATTAACTTACACACCTTCCAGTCTAAAAGTACTACATTCAAACCCGGTTGCGTATACTTTAGTATCATATGTGGAGCGGCGGTTCATTGGTTTAGGCAGTTGACTTGGGTTCGAACTCCGCTCTACCTACCGAGGTTTGAGCAGCCAAGTAGTACCATTATCTCTCATAGAATAGGTGTAGCATATTGCCTACTGTATCAACGTGCACATAATTGCTGGGTGCATTTCGATTTGAACTTTGGTATAAGTAACCGAGTAGTATCGTACATCGTTATATGGCCAAGTACCAAGATTTGTTCAAGACACTGTCGAGTCGCATTAACATTACAAACCCCCATGAAGAAAATTTGAAGGATAAGTATATTTATGTCTTATGAAAGCACTGATCGGTATGAGTAGACAGGTATCTCTTGCGAAGTAAACAGACATTTTCCATAAATCATATTTTCTAAAACCGTCTAGTTTAAGATATTCAGAAAGAAAAGTTTCGCACGGCACATTTTGTCATTTCCATGTTGAACTATGCTCACCTTTTCAACGAAATAAGTGAATTAAGGATGCTTACATTAAATTCCTCAGATAGTTTAAGCGAATATCTTTCTAACATTTCTAATTCTGTGACCTTGTTTTTCCTAATTTGATGCATTTTTCTTTACAATTCTTAGTCATCTTAATTTCAGACAAATGAAGAAAGTTTTTATGAAACTGTTTTGATGACTAAAATTGCAGCAACAATATTGTCCAACCTTTTTAAACACGTTGAGTGCGAATCTAAAAATGTATGATATATCATTTGCACTCATCGAATTCTAACTAGTATTCATTGTAGACTGGCATCAGTTGGAGAAAAACTGGAAACCTGGGAACACTGGACAGCTATTTCGTTCTAGTATGGGACGACTCCTCAGCAGTGCGCACTTACGAGCCCACTAGGGATCGGACCCGTGACCTTCAGGTTCCGTGGTCAGTAAGTTACCACTGGGTCGGAATCCAATGGTCCATATTTCCAACTTCTGTCAGTTCACGAAATAGCGCGACCGCCACCCAATGTCATCGTTGGGTATTTGTTCTCACGGCCACCAGATTTTCCCCACTGGTCACCACTTCTCCCCACAAACCCCCGAAATTCCTGGATTTATCTTTATTTATGCTTTGTTTAAAAGGAGGAAATGCAGTAGTTTATTGCATAGACTTGCCAGAAATTTGTATTGGTTTTGCGTATGCTGACCATCGATGAAATTTGATTACAAGAATGGGAAGGTTAGTTCGCGATCCCGTTCTATGGAGCTTAAGAAATTCAACTAACCATCAAAGGATGGTTATAGGTAAAAGTTGTACAGTGTGCTAAAATACCGAGCCGTAAGATGTTATCTTTAAATTTTGACTCCAGATCTTTGATTAGCCATGCTTTTGACGTATCCACCACATATCATGGAACTATAAAGAGATCAGTTTTGTAAGCAAACTCAAACAAAGTATGCGAATTCGTCGACACAACTAAGTAAGATGGTAAGGATATATTTTACGCATTCCCGATTACCACCTTTCATCTGGCATAAGATTTAGTTTGAACGTATCCTCCGATTGGTCTACTGAGGATAAAATACCAACAATGAGAAATGAATACTTCATGATCTACAATTATCAGCTTGTAAACTGATTGCAGGGAAATTCACTTCTTTACAACTCTTGTTAGTATAATTCATTCCCCCACCCTCTATCCCTTAGATCATGTGTTGCCTCAATTTTCAAACAGATTGTTGTGAATTTCAAGTATTTATACTTTCAATCCAAAAACATCTCTACTTACACTATATTTTTCTCAGGACGTTTATTTCTATATATATATATATATATATATATATATATATATATATATATATATATATATATATATATATATATATATATATATATAAACTATTTCGCTTCTTTTATCTTTATTATAGATTACATCTTTAGAATCAGAAGTCAGTCATCTTCAAATGGAAAAAGAACGACTAACAAATGATTTGAAAGCAAGTGTTGAACAAACTATTGAATTGAAAGAACAAGTTGATGCTGCACTCGGTGCTGACACAATGGTTAGTCAACTGACACAACGTAACTTGGAACTGGAAGAAATGCTTGAGAAAGTTAAAGAGGAGAGAAATGATTTGGTAGGTGTTTGAAATTTGTAATTTATCATATCATTTCTACGCTTTGATATTGAAGGTAAATTATTGGTTGTAATGAGATTTGTTCATCTAAATCATACTAAGCCCTAAACAGAATTCGGTAGATACCAGAGCAAAGCCCTCATCGTTTTAAAACATTTGGTACTGGTGTGATGTATGATTTCCTGTGTAGTTAATTGTAGAAGATGCAGGCTGGAGGTCACTTCATGCTTAGTTTGAAAATAGGAATTCATTCATTCGTTGTGATTTAGGTTCCCTCTAGTTAAAAAGATAGCATTTTTTACGGCATCCTATAAATGACAAAGAGAGCGATAAAAAAAACACTAGGTACTCTGTCAAATAAATAGGGTGAATAACGTGTAATTTCAGATGAAATAATATTTTCAAGACTTAAGGGAAAATAATATTGAATATAACTAGACCATCGATTATTTTTAACCTGTCTCATTTATGGTCCTAAAATAACCCTTCTTAACATGGTAACCACACCCCTTAGCCCGTTATTGAGATCACTAGGAGGCTTTTTCTCCTCCTCTTCTATTCTAGTTGCCAGAGTAGACTGCATAATACATGTTCGAGCTACCTCAGTCGTTTTATTCTACCTTTTGTACTTACCCCAATATTTTTCACCCAGCGGTTCGATTGGCCGCTCACATTTAGTTAAAACGACCTCGTCACATATCCGCATAGTACAACATAGTTGGAAACCTGAAATGACTCGTGGTGTATTGATTAATTCGGACTAGGTTGTAGAGGTTCAGCGAAAATTTGCAGCCTTCGAATGTAGATTTCTTCCTGTTACTTTCTAATACTGTTGCTACAGCTGGTTGAATATGGCAACAGATTCCATTAAAATAAGAACCATTATCTAACTACTTCTATTTTAAACACACTTTTGACTTGGCATCTGTACCAGTGATACAGGAACAGTGACTGATGATTTTTCTGGAATCGTACGAACAATAAGTCGTACTCGACCCGTCATCATCAGAACCATATAGTTATACTCTACCACAGTGCCTAAATTCTACTCTTATATTGATGACTATTTAATCTTGTGTATTCCCTCCTGCTCGATATCATCTAAAATCGTCTCGACTACCCTCTCATCACTAGTGTACATTTTTAAATACCGACTGTTGCATTCCAAGATTCTTCATCTTTGTTTCGCTTGTATCTCGGCTTTTATAGGAAGCTCTATGTGAAATGAACGATGAATTACAAGAGAATAGTCGCGAAACAGAACTTGAACTTCGTGAAGAAATTGAACGGGGTAACACACAAATAAATCAGCTTGTTCGTCATCTGGATGCTACTCGTGAAACAATTGCCGATTATGAGCAAACACTTGGTAAATTCAGAGATTTAGTCTCCGATCTACAAACACAAAACACTGATCTTCGACGATCATTAGCCGATGGAAAACGTTTACAAGAACAACAGCAACAGCAGCAATTGGAACAACAATATTGTGTAACCGTCCCAACAGATCTTGTTGGTTCTACTAAATTCGATGCTGCTTCTCAGGTCAAAACTCTTGCTAAAGTGAGCAATTATTGTCAAAATTATTTTTATTATCACTGACGATTGACATATCAATGGTCGGTTGTAACGTAAACGAAGAGGTCATTTTGCACCGATTAATAATGTGTTTACTCTGTATTTTTACATCTTTGGCTTAACAGAACGTGAAAGCAATCAATCGTCGTAATATGTTATGAATATCTGGAGGTTTGTACAACTTGGGAGAAAGTAGCGCATCGGTTTAAGTTTCCAACTAGTAAATCCAGAAAAAGAGAATCATGATAGTATCAGTAGTTATTTTATTCCAAACAATATGGGATTCTCAACGTGTAATATTTCAATGACTTCACTCCCAATACAGTATTTTCAAACGAAATAGTTGTAGCATCTAAATGAAGCTTGGCATGCGTTTCGCACATGTCAGATGTAAGATAATGCCGCAGGACTACTCCCAGTTTATTAGATAGGGAGTGAAGTGGTGGAATGTGTCAACCACTTTGCCTACTTGGGAAGTTGCGTTGGCCTGAAAGGGTTGTTTGCTGACGAAATCTCAGCTTGGATACAGAAGGCCTGTTTGACATTTGCCAACTGGCGTCATCTGTGTCGCGATATATCCGACTACCTATCAAAGGACGAGTATATTACGCTACAGTCCGTTCTGTCCTGTTATGCGCTTGCGAGATATGGCCATTGAATGTAGAAGACATGAAGCAGTTACAGAGTTTTGATCATAGGTGTCTTCGTATCAATGCTCGCATTTGGTGGAATCACCATGTGAGCAATGTTGAGGTCAGGTGAGTGGTACTAGGATAGAATAATCAGTTTGCAAATGATTTACAAATGGAACGGTCCAAGTTGACATTTCTCACAGCTGAGTAGTTTTTCAACTTCCCAGCTGTGGTGTCAACAGGGTTTCCACTGGAAACCACTCAATCGAGATCACATGGTGTGATCTCTGACACAAAAGTGTCATGAACTAGCAAAATATGCTACTACTGAATAACTTGAGTAGTTAGAAACCACTCAGGCCGATTGTCGAACGGGCAAATCGATTCATGAGGTTGTGAAGGTTCATCGACTGAGGTGGCTTGGACATGTGTTGCGCATGCTGAGTCACCACCTACCTTGACGTGCTATGCTAGGGGAGGTTGGATTAATTTTGATGTTGTGTCCTCTAAGGTGGATAGTTCAATATTAAAACTTTCATTGTCATTCGAGACAAAATCATCAGCACAAACTTCAGAAAGAAAGATGAATTAAACTAGAAGAGGTTTAAGGGTGGCTAGTCTGAGAAGTGGCACCAGTCGATGAAGTCCCTGACTCGGCATGTGCAACCTTAATCAGTGAAGGTTTACCACCTCTTGTCTAGTACTTTACACCTAACTTCAACTTCGCTGTCACTGTGGTCCCATCACATACAAGTAATGTGAAGAAGAAATCGATCCCCAAAATTCATAAATATCCCCATCCCTCCTACTTTTAACAGCTGTCACACAAACCGTCGTATAGAATAAATTGGTCTGGTGTGCATTATACTTGTTCTGTGAGAAATAGACTGATATCTCGTCTACATCGAAGAAAGCGTAAGTTGGGAATGCCAAAGGATTCTTTTGAATCAAAGTTGAAATTTTGTCAACTGACATAACTCTCCTAGCAATTAAGTTGGTCAACAGATCTGATCGATGTACTCTCTGTCCTCAAATTAGGACTTAGTGCCAACTACTTACAGAACGGCACTTTGCATTTAACACAAGTGAAATGCAAACCAATACACTTAGACTTTTCTCAAAGCGTTGACAAGACCTCACAATTTGCCATCATCTTTGTCCAAAAGAAGTATATTGTATGTGTACTCCGAGTCAACCTGGTGCCCTCCGCGATGCGAGTCAATGCGTGAGAAGTCGCAGAAAGTTGAGTTTATTTGGTATATGTGTATCAATATAGTGGGGTGATGACTGTTAGTAATGTAAAACCTAGGCTGTATCATCTAGTTTGAGCCCTTCCTTCTGTAGATGGATGTGTGCTTATGTTGTTCCAAAGTTCGACAATGTGAATTGAAACAGTTCTGTGCTAGTTTCTGCATTTATTTATCTATCAGCAGTCATTACCTTCTTCATCAATATTACATGTGACATATACAGACTAAAAATTCTTCATTATATCTGTTAGTAAATCAGCTTTTGAAATGTTTGCTAGAACTAATAGTATGAATCCTCTATGAACTGCACTTGTATACAGATTTATTTAAATGGTGCATAACTTGCTATAACGTGATACTTTTAACACTTTCACGTTATTTTTCATCCGTTTTGTGATTGATTGAATTTAGTGTTTGCATTGCCAGTGTTATATATTTGCAGCAAAATGCTCCTTCGTACACTAGACTGTGAGTCATACATGGGTAAGCGAAACGGGGTTCGAACCTGTGACTCACTAGTTATAAGTTCTATATTTAAACCAATAAATCAAAGTTATATCATCCTAATACTTTCTTGCTAGGACTTTTAACTTACTACCAATGAGTTTTATTCAATTCTTATTACATTCATCATTAAATTTACTGTATCTTTATTGAATTTTGTGTTGGAAAAAAGGTAATTGAAGCTGAGTTGAGACGTCTTGAAGCAGAGCAAAGTGCAAATCATGTAGCTCGTTTAACGGCTTTCTTGCCTGATTCATTTTTACGACGTGGTGGTGATAATGAAGCATTGCTTGCTCTGTTGTTACTTGATCGATTGGCTGGAAAATGTGATCTATTAGCTAATCATGTAAGTTTGCTTTTTTTTTTATACAGTTTTATTTTACCCATGTATTGTTTACGTTGAATTAACCTTACATATACCGTTTTATGGTCCTACAGGATTTTGTACCTAAATTTTTGAACACTGTAAACTTTGGAGACTCATGTCGAAAAAACTAGGTGTAGAAAAATAACAACATCCTAATCTTCAGCCTGATGTATGTTTTTTTGACCCGACCGACAGCTGCTACCTTGACGTGGTGGTCGGGCTTACATATCACGATGACTCAACGAGCTGTGCTGGTGGAACGCTTGTCCCCTCGAGGTCCTACCATACCAGAAAGGTCTGTTGGATGGTGGTTAGACAAAAAGCAGTTACCACTATAGTATAAATTGTCACTCTATAATGGAGGCCTAAAGGCGAAGTCCTACTTCTGTTAGCTGGTTGGGGTGTAACTGTAATAAGGTGTTTCTCTTCGATGACCACCAGTGCCACGCTGATGCTATCTTCCCTATGGAAGGGTAGTTAGAAAGGATTGGCCCACCCCTTGCGGAATGCCGATGCCTGCAATAAGGATTCATAGTCGGATTTAAGAGGAAAAAACCGAAATCTCAAACTCGCCAAAAGATATTGTATGACCAACCTAAAGCAGATGTCCGTTACGTTCTGCGGTCACACACTATCCCTTCTTCTTCTTCAGATAACTCAAAAAGAACTAATCTTCCACAATATAGGCAGGTGGGAAGTGTCAACTGCCCCCACGCTTCCATGTTTTTTTGAATTCCATGCTGGTATTAAGTGGCTTGTTTTACACCTACTTTATGTTGCCTAACTGTTGGTGCGTAATAACCTGATGAATTACCAGTATATAAGACATTCTTACGAATAATCTGATAGAATGTACAGATCTTCATTATTTCAAGTTATGAACTACACTTTACTCATGTACACGTCTTGTTTGTATTCGTCTAAAGCAAGTATTTGCTGAAGTCCACCATTGAATTGCATCGAAGTTTTCAAACACATATATGTGCTACTCAACCCATTTTCATCAGATCAATGCCTAGCGCATGCAACATGTATGACTAAATCACGTGCCATACGAATTCCAAAAACTTTTTGTTCCTCTAAAAATGAAAGAATAAGGAGCAAACTGGAGAAATCTATGGAAGTTTTATGCCTCATAGTACGTGCATTGACGAGATATTCACCCTCTGACAGGTCTTAGAATGGAGACACATATCTGTACCCGACACTAGCTCTATTTTTAGGTCCGAAGGCTGCATTCCACTTTATCAACCGAGATTTCTTATGATAATGTCTTGTGATAATGTCATCTTGTGAAGGCACAGTATTCCAAGTCCTGTGCACGTGTTTCAACCTGTAGTTGAAGTATCACGTGAATCATGTAGGTCTAGTGGTATTTGTCTAGGATATCTACTCTCCATTTTTATTGAAGTCCATCATGGACGTTCTTAAAGGTCTTCCTCTGGTTTGAGTTTGCAGGGATTAACCTTGTCACAGGAGACTTTTAGCAGAACTAAAGTACGCGGATGACACGCTCCTATTATACGAATATCCTGACAAGATGAAGAGTCTTCTGAATGAATTGAGTAAAATATGAGAATGCTTTAGATGCTCTTACCTGCTAAATGCAATCTGTTGCTTCACGGCTGATCTGCATTGGCATTTTATCTAACAATAGTGAGTCATGTAGTTGAACTGATTGACCGGTTCACTTACTTGGGAGGTCAGATCAACCCTGATAAGTCAATGACCAACAAAATCCTTGAGCAAACACAACAAATTTAAAAGGTTGTTGCCAACTTTCATCATATATTGTACCAACGTGGTATCTGATTCCTTATTAAGGGCTGAGTGCACTGCGCAGTTCTCTCCGTTATACTAGTATCTGTGAAACATGTTCACTAAATGTCGGTAATATTGGTAAACTTCATGTGTTCTATCATCATGTGTCGTAGAACCAATACGCCAGTAATGCAGAAGTGAGGCCTAGAGTTTTGGGCAGACGAGGGAAATCAGTTGTTGAGGTTGTGGATTTCCATCTACTCAGATGGCTGGGACATGAATTATGCATGCCTAGTCACTGTCTCCTTCGTTTCATAATGTTAGTTGATGTAGGTTGACTGTAAAAAGATTAGAGGCCGCCAGAATTGAAAACTGTATCGGTCTATGAAGTCTTTGACTGTTGGCTTGTCGTATGGGGGAAATGCAGACTTCTCGACTGGACTCCGCATGACAAGAGAAACTGGTGGTTGGGAATCGTAGGTGACTTGCCTCACGATTAATCTTGACGGCTCAGGTGCATCCACAAATTTCATGATTGCTTCGTTCCTTCTTGCTATCGTTTCATAATTTTCCACTACGTTCAGCTACTGTCTTACTTACTTCTCTATCCTTCATTTTGGTGCCCTCTGTTTTGATGTGCTGACATGAGGTGTAGCAACTTAAACTGGTACATAGTAATGCAGATCCCATGTTGATGTTGACCAATTGAGTTGTGATATTTTGCTACAACTTCCATCTTCAGGACTTTTCCTGATCAGCTATCTACTTCACACAAAAGTCGCTACATTCCTTTCAGTTTTGATGGCTATTTTTATAATGGTGACTATAAACTGTGCATTGGTAGGGAAAAACAAGTTTGAATTTAATTAAAAAATGGTTGTACAACCTACGACTTCATCCTAAATATGTCTGCAGCATAGTTAATTACTACAAACACTGTGGTGATATTCACATGTCTAATGCAAGACCTGATCTGAGATAGCCCCTAACACAACTGAGATTAATGATAGGTAAAAGCAATTTTTATTCTCTTTCTGTGCGTAGGGTGTCATGTAACAGTTTCTGCATTCCTTTATTTTTACTTTGAACTTCATGGAATTGAACTACAACATGTGTGTGTATACAACGGGATAGTGAAAATTATGAATTTATCCATGAAAGGTATATGAAGTCTGCATTCAATACATTACATGTGTGCTTTCTGGTAGCACAACTACTGCTCTGACTTTACGACCATCTTTTCTAACTACGTAATCGTCACTAGATCATTATCTTGCTAAATTGCGGATGTAGGGGGATGAAGAGTCCATCTTTCTTCAAAGACAGAAAACTAACAACATATTACAGTAGTGCTTTACACTAAAGGTTTGACGAGTTATAAGATGCTTAGTTGCTATGACTTTTACAAAAGCAAATAAAGTGATAGTTGTTTAATATATGACTTTGATACTGTCACATGATTCTGACTTTCTGCACACCTCACTGTCTGAATATCGCTATACTTGTTACACTTTACTTACGCCTTTAAGTCATCAACTGAACTGAACTTAAGACGAGCTATTCGTAACTCTTTAGCTATCAATCTTTCTCCTGCTTCATTGTAGAATAAAGGACAAAAATTAAGGGCCTCCTAACTTACTATCTTGTGAGATCTAAGTCGTACTTATATAAAAATGAATAACATATCCATGATGTATCATAATTTGTTAAAAGCAAAATAATCGATTTCACGCAAAAATTAGAATAGTGCACAATAATCAACTTCATTGAATATGCAATTATTTCGCAACCATAAATTGTGCCGAATTGAGGGAGGAGTCCATAAAAGACTCTCCTGGTGAACTGTACAATAAAACTGTAAAATAAGTCTTAAGTGAAATGTCCTTTAAAACCAACAGAATAATACGACCGATAATGCCTAAAGTCCCTGTTTTTGTTTCCATGGTGCGTTATGACAACAACCCTTTATGATAGCAATATGCTGTATCTATTATCTCTCTAGTTGACTGACTTCTTACTTGCCTTTGAAGAGACTGAGTCCCATCCATATATGCATTCCATTCTCCTCTCAGATTCTTGGTGATACAATCATGTGTGAACCGTTGTGATCAACCATGTCAAAATGTCAGTCAATCACTTGTATGGGATCAAAAATTTATCACTTTATAGTGTAGTGAAATGCATTAGTATGAAGATCTTTAAGATTCTCTACCTGCTTTTACTTCAACCAACATCTTGCATCCAAATAAGTAGCAAATAGATATATGTGACGCCATGTTACACAAATTTCAGTCAACTTCCTTCCTTCAGGATATCGATAATAATCTCATTTAATTTTGTGCGTCTGGGTAGTTTTGTGAGTGCTATTGGAGGTGTCACTGATGAGATTTCCGATTATTTATCGAAAGTTACTGCGGCATACACTAACCAAGGTCACGTTTGGCACCGTCGCAACGCTTACCTTGTTGTAAAAGGTGTGGCATAAAACCCATCAGTGCATGCAGTTTTGCTCTACTCCTTTCAAAACTGACCTTTGTGAGCTAACGATATTCGACAACTATGCATGCACAATCACGGTTTTCTCATCCGGACTGCTTGCGTCCGGTGTAAATACAGCGTAAGTAGTTTTGAGATGCAGTGGCGTGTGTTCGGGCGTAGTGAAAATTATCATTCGTTGAGTGTGGTCATTTTGAAACATCAACTTCAGTGGCTTGAACATGCCATGAATACTGTTCCAATGGGTTCCCTATCGCTCACTGTTTCATTGTCATACGACTGATTGAAAGAAGCGAAAGGATGTCAGTTTATGACATGATACCCTGGGATGATGGGTAATTGGTGGTGGCTTAGCATCTGATAACACGTCATAGCTTTCGAGAGACCATACAACTCAGCAACTTGAGATATGACTACAAATCAAAAACAGTGGAAATCATGCTTCAACTTTATTGTTTCTCTTATTATTGAAAAACAAAATGAGAGTAATGAATGCTTTTATGATGCTGATTCTTTAGCAGCACATGTACGTGTTTGCTCCTGTCCTTCTTTTTTTTCCTTCCCCCGAAATCACTTTTTTCAGTCATTCTAATTTTATTATATTATCTTTTAACACTACTCTTAGTGCCCATTTTATCTATTTCGAATAAAAATAATAAAAGATCTTGAATGGCAGAGGAAATTTGTAGCTCAACATGAGGATGATAATTACTTCGAGAACAAAAGATAATTATCAAATCTCGATTACTTTCAAGTTATTTTTAATTGTTGTGGTAGGATTAACTTCATTAAGTGAAACGGATGATAACTCTCAGTGATATCACTTTAATGACCAAAAATCATTTTTAACTTGCAACCTCTTGTTTGACATTATAGTCAACGAAACATTTCTTAAAGGGAGTCTGAAGTTATTCAAGGCAGAAATCAAGTCGATAAACCATCCGAAGTGCATATGATATCCCATTTAAGACTCATTAGATAGTATATATACCTGTATCCTGATGGAATGTTAAGACTCTTGACGACAATCAACACTAACACTAACGATAGCATTATGATACCGACGAAGTGTACTTCTTTTACCCTGTCGAACCAAAATGATAATCGTCTTTTGGCATATAAACTCATATAAACTTCATCCACTTTGAAAAGGGCTTCGATAGCGTTGACGGAGAAGTAATTTGGCAACTGCCTCAACACTATGGTTTCAGTGCCACAAACATTCATCAACCTCATTCAACAGCTACATGCTATACGATGCTACATGCCAAGTGATTCACAATGAAAAGCTATTCACTAACGACTTTGAAATGCAGACAGCAGTAAAACAAGGTCGCCGCCTAATATCACTTACGATCTTACTGATTGTGGTCGACTACATCATGCAACAAACTGTAAGAAGCAAGAAGATGGACATACGTTCCAACTACAGGCGGTGGCGACAGCACAGATGAGGACGTCAAAAACCGGGATCGGAGAAACAGCAAGACAGGCTTTCCTTAATTAATCTCAAATCAGTGTGGAGATCTTCTGCACTCCGCTACACTCCACTACACTCAACATAATGCGTGAACAACATCCAGATTTTCAACACTAAGATCAGTCAAGTGAGTCAGTCAGTGCTTCTCTATGTGATGGTTGAGAGACTTGGTGCGTTACCAAAAGCATTTACAACTAACTGCTGACATACATCACATCAACAGCTGCCGTCTACAATCACTCCATACTGACATTGAAGATTAGATGGATGGCCAGGATAAAAGGAATAAGCAACATGGAACTCTGGCTGGCTGGCTGGCTGGCTGGCTGGCTGGCTGGCTGGCTGGCTGGCTGGCTGGCTGGCTGGCTGGCTGGCTGGCTGGCTGGCAGGCAACGAACCATCCAAGAACCTATGACCCAACGAATATGAAAAAGAGGAAAGTGGAGATGGATTGTAGTCGACTGGTTATACACTGAGAACACTGTTTGGGGACATCATGCACCAGGTTAGGCCGTCGAGTGGAACCCAGATGGGAAACAACGAGTTGGGAGTCCGAGGCGAGGTTGACATGGAGGAGATTGTGTGAGGAAGAAATGAAGGCTTCTGGGTAGTGGTGGAGCCAGGTTGAAAAACAAGAGTGCAGAGGAAAGAGTGAGATGGTGAAGTGCTACTGAATCCCTATGTTTCATGAGGAACCCGAGGGACAAATAATTAAATAATAATAAATCAGTCCATACATATTTATTATCTGCCGTAATTGACGTATTAAAAATACCAATTTTGTGCTGTAATATGCTCACTTTTTACATCTATATAATCTTTATCCTTCTAGCTTGTTGAACGTTATCCCGTACCTCCTTGTGTTCCTGGCCAAATATCATTGCAGTTTCCTCAATCCGATATGAACACTGATAACCAAACTGTTGTCAGTGGAATCTGTATCCCTGGTACTGACAATCCGTTACCACCACTAACCAAGACAAAAGCAGAATTCTACAGTTTCATAACTAGACTTATCCATTTGCTCCGGTCAATGGCCTCTTTGTTAGCCCAGTACAAGCAGTAAGTTTATAGCAAGTTACCTTGTCCTAATTCAATTCTTTGTGCATATTGCTGTATTTTCTTTACAAAAATATCAAAGGTATAGCTAACTAACTTTAACGGATAGTCTTTCTCCTGAATCAAAAATGTATCTAGGATTACTGATGACACTTTTAAACTGCGATAAAGAGCGTATTCTTCTTAATTAAAACTCACAATATGCTAGTTAGAATGCTCATGTAAATAAACTGTACATCTCTGCCTTAATCATATATTTTACTGGAAGATTCAGCTAACACCTAGTAACTGAAGAGTATACTCATATAAAATGATTCATTGGAAGTTGATTCATGTGAATGCATTTTTCATCTCAGACTCACATTGCCTATAGAATTTTTATAAAACGAAAAATTTTCAACCACAGAAGTCTTGATTTTTTCAAGCATTCCTTTTTCAGTTAGCTTGGTTCTTGGTCCCATTTAAATAGCTTTCCACATGTTTAGATTATTCTACTGCATAGGACAACCCATTTGTCAAAGTGTTACTAAGATAATCGAATTAATCATACGTCAGCAATCGTACACCATCACTTTTCATTTATAACCTATTCGTTCGCTCTGGTAGGCGATAAGAGCCGAATAAGACAGCGATTCAGTGCTCGCCTTCTAACCAACAATGACTTCATGCATTCCTTTAGGAAGTTCACCGTGTTTGACTCTGAAAGAGAAGTAATTCTCCTAGAGGTTGCAGAAATTTTTAACTGATCAACACCAGTAAGATCTAAATCTAGATTGTTTACTGCCTCTGATAATTATGAATCATGGAACTATGGCTGTACAGTATTTTAGTCTACTCCATTCCTCCATGGGGATTTTAGATGTGACCCTTTTAAGCTAGGTACCATCAGGCGATTGCAGATATCGACTTCAACATCCAGTGTTTGGTGAACATAATAAGTCGGGGAAAGATAGCGGCAGTCATATCCTCAGACATGGTTTCAGTCCATTCAGTTCCTAATGGTTGATCCTAACCCACCCATAAAAGTGTTTACTACGTGGCTAGATTCTCCAAAATATTGGTAATCAATATTTGAAGACCTGTAAATTAACTATGATTCTCCTGAGTTGATACCTGTTCTCTCCACAACTACTCCCCAAGGTGCCAGCGTAAAGAAGATCTACACAGCGCGGTTAAGTGGTTCTAGCCTTTTGTTACTGACCCGTGAAAAACGTGGGTTTTATGTCCAGCGGGGATTGCTGGACAAACCTAGTAACGTTTCAACAGTTGGCCTCCTCGTGGCCTCGCTGGATATCAAGCGATACACCGTCGAAGTTGAGTTAGCAGTAATCGTGGTTGGTGAGATCTGTATGCGCAAGTTCAGTGGTTCGAGTTTCCAAAGCATGGATTATCTAGCTAACCGCCAGGATTGCGCCCGATGCACCCGGGGCAGTGCAGCTGGGAGGTAAAATGAATCCAGCTTCCTAATTCTAGTAATCACTGTTGTTGAAGCAGTCTCCAGATAGTGTGGGGTGTAGTGTAGTTTGCCTCGCGAAGGTGATTGATATCCGGTCCGGACTGCCGGTATCTTTAACCATACCCTTGACTGTATATCATTAACTCATGATAGAGCCTCTGTTATGAATCAACTTGGTGGTAGGGGATTGTCTCTTAGGGAAGGTGAGCTGCACTTGTGGCAACTCAGTGAAATGTATCCCATGCATGTCTGCATACAGGGAAGGGAATACAGTCAATGAACCAATTTCCCGGCGGATATAGATGAGTTGAAGCCTGGCAGTTAGAACGGTTCTGGGACACTAGTCCTTTTGACGCTCTGGCAAGTGTTTGTTTTCATGTAAAAGCGTTTCTTGTATGTGAGAAGACCGAGTTACCAGGTTCCTGGAATATGACGTCTACATAAGATGAGGTTTATCTTGGAACTTGGAGCTGAGTCGGAAATTGGAGTAAAACCTAAATAATCAATGTTTGAAGACCCTAAAGTAGCTAGAAATCCATTCATAGGAAAACTAAATTGAGATTTGAGGATTTAAACACTTGCGGGGATTGGGTAAACGATATTTATTGTTATTATCATTATCATCATTTCCTTCATTTTCTTCATTCATTGGAAAATGAAACTAGGATAATCCCATACCAAGACGAAACAGTTATTCGTTCCTCCTGAGTTGTCAATAGTTCTCCAACTGATGTCAATCTGACATGAATACTACCCTATATCAATTTCAAAGTTCTGAATATGTTTTATTACCTTTTATTTATATTGCGTCATTTCCATACAATTACGCTTTGTATGTTGTTTCGATGTATAGCAAATTGAATGGATGCTCTTGGATAACACAATGAGAATGGTATTTGCTTGTATTATCATATTATTGATTGGAGCAAATTGATCGGTCTCTATTCGGTATATGGCCTCATGCGCGGATGCCTAGATATTGCCTGTTTTAATTATATATTAGTGATAGATAGTAGTTAGCAGTGGAACCCAGAACTCGCGTTTCATCCCATTTGGGACTCGTCAGCTGGGCAATACAAGTAACAACACTAAAACTTTACGCGTCACACAAGAAGTGGCTATCGTGGCTCGGTGGTCTAGTGGATAACGCTCTGGTGCTTGAAGCGATCAGCCCCGGGTCCGAGTCCTGGTGGTAACAACACCACTCACCGGGAAGTAGGTACACCTGACTGACGAGCCCGAAGTAGGACTAAATGCGCATCCTGGATTCCACTGCTAACCACTATCAATCATTAATAGAGTATAGTATTTGCATAATAAGATGGCAGCATTTCGTTTAACGGGGTTTGCATCAGCTGCATACAACCTAAATATAAACAGACATGTTAGATCGAGTAATATTAATTCAAACGTTGTAAAGGCAGAATGGGGAATAGCATCATAAATGTCTTAAACACATCAAATCAGTTCAACCAGATGCACATTTATGAGAAGGGGATGTGAATGTTCTAGGATGGAGGGAGGGAAATTTATTTTTCCTGAGAGATGGTTATGTAATCACAAAAAGTTATGCGTAAAAGTAGCCAACGCAATTGCGAAACAAAAATAACCAAACTAATGATAAACAGTAATTTACTCAAAAGATTGTGTGTTTCAATATACCAATAATTCTACGTTATACTTCACATTGATCATTGTATTTCACTTATTCTCATGGATTTATAACTGTACAGCCTGAGGAGGGAGTTATCGAAAACAACTGTTCACTCAAATTATTCTTGTTCTGAATAGTCTGCGGGGATCTTTGAATTAATGTGAAAGAGGTTCAGAGAAGAAGGAAAAAGCAAGTTTGAAGGGGTTTGAAAGAGGTAGTGGTTTTTTTTCTTGAAGGAAATCATTCATTACCAAGAAAGTGAGAGATTGACTACTATTTCTTTCTAGACAGTCAAGTTAAATCTCATTTTCTTATTGACTATCGAGCAATGGGTCACGAGTTCGAATCTCTCTCCATCTATCGAAGTTTGGATAGTCAGGCAGTTTCATTATCCTTTACATAATAGGTGTAGCTAACTGCCTACTGCACCAATTTGCTCAAGTTTGATGAGTGTGTTTCTTTCTTTCAGTAAACTCTAGCGTTCTTGAATTCTTCTATTTGTTGTCGATTGTGAAAGCTTCTGTTATGTTAAACTGCATACCCTGTGCCCATCATCATGGGGATCAACTGTATAAACTGATGCACTTTTATGAAAGGTTTATATGAGTTTGATTGTCATCATCACGCATTTGATTCCCACTCCATCTACTGATGTTCAAGTATTCATGTAGTAAATTATGACACTGCACATGTACATCTACATGGTTACTAATTTACATTGATTAAGAAAACCTTTAATGAATCATTTAAATTTGTTAACGTAATACGCTTTTGTTTGCTTATCCTTCTTAACAGAATTCTTTCAGGTTGTAGTGTTGATTTATACTTGAAGTTCGGTTCTCTATACAGTGAAATGTCTACTCATGAACATTGTATTGATCGATTAATAGAACAAACTAAGAATGATCAGCTAGATGAGACAATTTCATTGGAGACATTATCGTCATCATTCAACTACTTTATTCAGTTATACTCAGTTCATTTGAAAACAGAACCATTATTTAATTGTAGTATTAAACTAATGGATTTTACACGAACAACTCTGTCAGCTGTTGATGCTTTATCAGTTGATTCTACAGCGTTAATGATATTAACAGGACAAGATATTGACTGCCTATTACAAGTGGCCAAAACTGCTGCAACCTGTGTATCTGGACCGTTGAGTATGGGTAATATGGATGATGTGAGATCATTATTGTTAACTGACCCAATTACTGGTGGTGGTGTTGGTTTGACTGACCTTCTTCGTGAATTAATTCATTTTGCCACAACTGTACGTGTAATCACACGTCGAATAAAACGAAGAATCCCAAATAAACCTACAGGTCAACCATTGTCATTTAATCAAGATGTTGCACAGAAATTGGATCAAGCAATGCAACTATTAGGATCAATTGTTGGAACAATGTATACGACAACTCGTTTGGCAGGCCAGTTAACAGTTCGTCAAATTGTACGTTTTCAGTATATTGGTTTTATTTCGATCCTACTAATCTTATGTCTACACTACCTTAGTTTGTACAGTGATCTTTTCACACGACTGACAAACTATTAAGTTTTCGCTAACTTGTTTTATGTTATTACAGTCATTATTAGATTAAATACTCACTTCCACTACCTACCAAGTAGTATAAAAAATCCCTCTCTATTCCTCACATACACAGCGTAGAACCTCACGCACAAGTACATTGGTTCAAGTTGCCACAGTTCACAGTAGCATGCAAAGAACAAGTGAATAGAAAAAGACTGATATAAATTTGTAATCTCTTCATATATTCTACCTTCAACCGTCATGTCTCATTGCGGTATAACAGGACAGAACGGATTGCAGCGCAGTATAATCGTCTTTTAAGAGGTGGTTGGACATCTCTCCAGCTGTCGCCGGAGATAACGGAAGTTGACAAATACCACATGAACCTTCTTTATCCGAGCTGAGATTTCGTCAGCAGCCAGCTCGTTCTGGCTAACTCAACTCTTCAAGTAAGTGAAGTGGTTGACACATTCCATCCTTTCACCTCCTATTTTAAGACTAGAAGTACGTCCAGTAGATCAGTCCTGGAACACCATCTTACATTCAACATTTGACACATACCAATCATACTCAGATTTCTTCTCAACGCATCCAGAAGAACCTGCATTTTTTCACCACCTTCACCCGGCAGGACAATTTCGTTTGCGTACTCCAAGACATCCAGGTGACCTCTTGGAAGTAAGTCAATCTCTGTGAAGTCACAATTACCTCGGGTTATGTCCATTAATACATCTGTAACGAAGTAGGACAGGAACGGTGACAGAGGGCACCACTAATTATTGTGAACTCAAGTGGCAACTCTCCATAAGCCTTTACACGGTTATGCGAGTTTGAGAAGAGGGCTTCGATTGGTGTTGCATACTTGCTCATTACTCCCTTCACAGTTAGACACTACAACAACACTCCACGGTCGACACAGTCGAATTGCTGCCTTCAGGTCACAAAATATGACAATTGTTGGCTGCTGGTAAATATGTTTGTGTTCTGGAACCTGTCGAAGGGTGAAAGTATGATCGATACGCCTGCATCCAGGTCTGGAACCTATCCTGTTTTCGTGAGCTTCATTTAGGCATAAGATAAAAATGAACCTTAGGATCTTGGACACGACGTTAGTTAAACTAATTCTCTTATGTTTGTCACAGGAAGACTTAAAAACTGGGATGATCAGAGAAGTAGACCAGTCTTACGTCACTACCTCTGATTCCCATACACTTACTAGTTCCTCCGTTACTCTACTCAGCGATTCCATACCTCCATCCTTAAAAGGTACTGGTGGCAAACTATCAGGTCCTACCGCTTCGCATCGTTTCAGCTTCCATACAGCCGTCTCAAATTCAAGGAGAGTTGGAATAAAGTCCCATTCAGGTTCGGGTTGAACGGATGCTGGGCAACTGAAGAGTTGCTGAGGGGCAGTTAAACTGTGCTTCAAAGTGTTCCTATCCAACGTCTGTCGTGTGAGATTATCAGGGTACCACACATAAAGTATGTCTCCATTGCCTGGTGTCTAACCCCGTACCAGATTTGGCTGGATTTCTGTGCTCAGTGTCTGAACACCCCTTACTGATGTGTTTGAGGTTATTTCACCAGTTGATGGTCTGAATCATAAAACTGCAGAAATCAACAAGGATAGATCATCAGAGACGTGACTTCAGGCTATCGCACTCCTTATCTTATTGTGTATTCTAAATCTCATAACATACCATTGTACGTACATTCTTTGTTCTCATTTTTACTTTACTTTTTTTCTGTTATATACCATTCTCAAATTTGTCTATCAGAGCTGTTTAAGTATATAGTGCATTTTTATCGGTATACAGCAGCTTCAAGATATACCTTGATTCACACTTTTTTTGAAACATCTTCCAAAGTGTCAATAAGATTATGGTTATATGTGCTTCGTGTACAACTCGTATCTCTTCCATCGAAAGTTAGTTGGACAAACCATTTATCCATCATAAAAATTATTTATTATTTGTCCCTCGGGTTCCTAGTGGGACATAGGAATTCAGTAGCACGTCACCATCTCACTCTTTCCTCTGCAGTCTTGTTTTTTAACCTGGCTTCACCACTACCCAGAAGCCTTCATTTCTTCCTCACACAATCTCCTCCATGTCAACCTCGCCTCGGACGCCTAACTCGTCGTTTCCCATTGGCTTCCACTCGACAGCCTAACCTGGTGCATGATGTCCCCAAACAGTGTTCTCAGTGTATAACCAGTCGACTACAATCCATCTCCACTTTCCTCTTTTTCATATTCGTTGGGTCATAGGTTCTTGGATGGTTCGTTGCCAGCCAGCCAGCCAGCCAGCCAGCCAGCCAACCAGAGTTGCATGTTGCTTATTCTTATTATCCTGGCCATCCATCTGATCTTCAATGTCAGTGTGGAGTGAGTGTAGACGTCAGCTGTTGATGTGATGTATGTCCAGCAGTTAGTTGTAAACGCTTTTGGTAACGCACCAAGTCTCTCAACCATCACATAGAGAAGCACTGACTGACTCACTTGACTGATCTTAGTGTTGAAAATCGGGATGTTGTTCACGCATTATGTTGAGTGTAGCGGAGTGCAGAAGATCTCCACACTGATTTGAGATTAATTAAGGAAAGCCTGTCTTGCTGTTTCTCCGATCCGGTTTTGACGTCCTCATGTGTGCCGTCGCCACCGCCTGTAGTTGGAACGATGCTACCTTACCTGGATAGGTGGAAGAGATAACTTTAGATTTCTCCCGTTCATGGTGATTGGTGCTTCTTGTTGTTGTTGTTGTTGTTGTTGTTGTTGTTGTTGTTGTTGGTTAGGTATCTTCATCATCTCTGTCTTCTGTACGTTCACGTGAAGGAAATCCTGTCTTCTCTACCCTGCCTCTTCTGTCAACTTGTTAGTTTTTACCTGTAGATCTTTTGGAGTTTGTGCGACAGTAGAAACTAGACATAAATCATCATCGTTGGTGAAATGCAAATCTTCTTCTGAGGTCTTTTCATCGGTGAGACAGCGTATGTCCATCTTCTTGCTTCTTACAGTTTGTTGCATGATGTAGTCGACCGCAATCAGGAAGATCTTGGTAGATAGTACGCAAATCATAAAATTGGTTGTTCTATGTTGTATGATAAAAGCTTGTTAGTTAGTTGTATATCCGTACATAGAAAAGCACTAATTTCTGCTTCATACTGATCTTTAGGGTGTAAATTCATGCATAGTTATAGAATTTATTATAAATCTGAACAAAGAGTTTACATTTTATGTCTCACAGTTCACTTACTTCTATACTCATACTTGATTTTCCTTTTACATACCCACTTAATGACAGTTTTAATTAAAGGTGGACATGCTGTTTAAGCTTTTCACTTTTCCTTAATTTTGATGTACTATAATTCACTGAATGGTAGAAAAACTGAATCCCATTTTCAACCAACTTTGACAAGAAATGATAGAGTGTAGTTTGGACGCATATTTACTCTGTCGCAGTAAGTTTAAATCCTACATTACCTGCTAAAGTAAACTGCCATGTAGTAACTTCTCTTACTTGTTACTTCCTCCACTTTTATCTTGTATATATTCTTGGTTTACAGGAAGACTCAGCTAATCTCGAACCTAATGTCGTCTTTACTCAATGTCTATCAGAAGCGTGTAAAGAATACTTAATATCAACTGATCAAATCAACACGCGTTCTAGTGTTATCGCACCAGATATCCGAATTCGTACCAGCTTAGCTCAAGTTGCTCGTATTATCATTCAAGTGGCACTGGCAATGGAAAATGGGGAATATGACTTTGATGGGACAAAACAATCTGTGGTAGGTTTCTTTTGTATCCTTTTCATTTTTATAGTAACAGGCTAGTAGTAAATAGAAATAGTTAATGGCAATGCAACATTTTCTAGGTAGATATGCATGAATATTTTTCTAAACTATTTTCCACGGAATCCACTCAGTAATCTGAATATTGACCGTCGCAAATGGAGATCATATCAGTCCTTATAAAACCATTAGTTATGTTGTACTATACCGCATGGGAGAGTGGGTTTTCAAAAATACCAGTCAACAGAATGCGATCCAGCAGTTCAAATTTCCAACCCTATCACTCCCAAAATTAAATATCCTTGGTTCAACTCTAAAAGGAAATGTAGTGTGTATCTCGCTGGAAATCTATATGAAATATTCAATTCGGAGGTCTGTGGGGATTTATTTATTGATTTCAGCTTGATATTCATTATGTACTGAAATCAATAGGAGAAACATTAGTAACCTGGGAGCACTGGACAGCTGTATTGTCCTAGTACGAGACTCTTAAGCAGGGTACACCCTTAACCTCAACAGAGGTCGAAACCAGGACCCTCAAGTCTTGCGGCTGGCACATTACTATTAAGCCACTTGGTTGGAATCCAGTGGTCCATACTTCTTAATTTTATCGGTTCACAATATAGCGCGACCTTCATCTGATGCAGTCTTTGAGTATCTGTTCTCCTATCCGACCTGGTTGGCCCCACTACTTACGACTTCTGTATGAAATAGCTAATTTCTAATATCGTCTAGATTTCACCGGCTATTTAAAGACGATGTAAGTTGGTTCAAGATGATAAACCTTCTACAACAGCTGAACATGCTAACATAATACAAATACAGTTGGTGTTGAGATCAGCTGAAAACATGTTATGTAGGAAGATGTGTTAAAATATACCGAACCCATACCTAATAGCGAACTTTATAGTTCGCAAGCATTGACTTAGAAATTGTTGTTGAGATTAAGTTTTCAAAACAGTAAACATTAAGAATACAATTCTTTTTTTATTGGTGTCATTTTCTAAAGCTGAACAATCGTCTTTATGTATATCTCAAACACATAATAGTTTATCATTGAACAATAGGGTATAGTTACATTATTTTACAACATTATCAAAACTGAAGTAAAGAAGAGAAACAGGTCACAGAATAATCTATCAGACAATGCAAATAACGATAAAAGCAAAGGGTCTGACGACCTGCTACTTCGAATCACTTCAACGTGTCTAGAAATGTGCTTGCTTTTGTGGAATTAGTTATACAGGCCACACAAAGTGCGCACTTTCCTAACGTTGTCTAAGGGAGAAAGCATAACGATTACCAGTTCAATCCTTGAACATTTCGTCACCTTTGGAAATATATTTCCACAAGAGTTTCCCTCCAATAAAAAGGAAACGTAATCAGCACTTTCTGGCAGCAGGCTATGAGCCGCTGATATTGTGCGAGGGCAAGTAATACTACCTGACTTCCAAGACCTTGACAGGTGGAGCGGTGTTCAAACCCCTGGTTGGAAATTAACTGTCTAAACCAGTGAGCCACAACTCCGCTCCTCCTTCGATATCAAATTCAAAGGGTACAGTCAAAAAGGAATGCTCTTTCAAAACAATTAAAGACTGATCTGTGCGTGCAGAAGAAGTATGTTCCCTATCGTACCATAATCCTAACCCTTCCACATTTCCTATTATCACCCTCATTATGACTCTTGTTTTCTTCCCTGTTTTTTTTTACATCAAATGAAAACAGTCACCTCATTTTATATCTAACAATAATTTTTTTTGTTACTTACATTGTTTGGAAGATTGTTACCTCCAACCCCTCACCACTCTTTATTTCAATTTCAACAATACTCTTGTGACGCAAATATATCCTATCGTTCAGTAATAGACTGTCGTATGTTTGCGATATATATGCATATGATTGTGTAGCTTTCGAAAATAACATCGAAAAGGAATTTTTTCTTCTCCTCTGAGTTGTCTCTTCTCTTCTTTACGGCTTAATGGACATTCTTGGCCTAGGACTGATTTTGGACATCCTTATCTAAGGTTTCTACTATATCGATATTCCCAATGAGAAAGTTAAAAGTTCTGTTTGTGATTCTAATTGCAAATTCTTGAATTCATTGTTTAGTGCAATTTTGTCATTTTCGTTCCACTTTCTCCCGAAATAATACTACACGTTGTAGTAGACATTATAAATACGCAATATTTATTATATCTAAAATAGAAATAACTATAACAAACTTTTTAAAAGGGTTCTGTGTTATAACTCATACAATATAAGGTCATTTATATTAATATATAGGATAATTTGTTTTTCGATTCTTTTTATCATAGCCTCAGGAACCGGTAGCTGCTCGTGCTATTGCGTATAAACGCGCTCAAGCTGAATTAGAAGGATGTCGAGCTAAATTGGAAACTAGAGCAGAAGAAGTCAAAGAATTACAAAAAGCATTAAAAGCACGTGCTGATGAACTCAGTGAAATGTCTGTACGCATAAGTTTTACTGAGAAGAAATTAGAAACTGCTGGGAAAGGCAATGAAGAGAAGATATCTCGTCTAGAACAACGTTTAGAACAGTCGGAAGCTCAACTGAAACGTAATGAAAAGTGCGTTTATACACCATTATCTTTAATCAGTGTGATATTGAGTGGACTTTCAATGGTAATTTTAACCTGAGCAAATCGTTACTACGTAATAAGGCTTTTGCGTATCCAATTCTGTTATCCTGTAAGGGTTTCATCGAAGTAATCTCAATTTTACATCACTGTAATGTGTTAAAGATTAAATATGAATAAAATACAACGCCACCTTGTGAACACCCCCATGGAGTAGACAATGAGTCACACCTATGGTGTGAAGGCAAGTGATACTATCTAGTTGCCCAAACCTCGGTAGGTGGAGGGGGCTCGACCCCATGACCCTTTGGCTGCAATTTAACTCCCTAAACCACTGAGCCACAGCTTCACTGAGTATAGAATTCAAGGAACAAATTCGTTCGTTTTCAGAAATCTTGTCTTTAGGAACTGTTGAGTTAGATTGGCATAATAAATCAGTGTTTACAAAATTAAATGAGTCAAAAACGTTCTTGTTTACCTCAAGGTTATCTGAGTAAGAGTGCACTGATTGTAGTGACTCCAGATGGCACCTATACTTTATCGTCAATATCATCATATGAAAAGTTCGTTATCATATTCACCTAAAGGATGAAGTGTGACAATCAACTTTAATTACATTCAATCTACTTCCTTAACTTCTTAAGCAAATAGTATGAAGGAAAAGATTATTCTGATACATACTGAAAAACAGCCATACATTATAACCTATGTTTTATTGCTTCTTCACATCCGTAAATACAGAATTCCTTACTACTGAAACAAAGAACAACATGAGTTTCTTCAAGGTTACAAACGCAGTGTACTGATAGGTACTAAACAGTACAAAACATATCAATTAACTAGTACCATCCAACACCGAAATAAAGTACTCCATGGCGTCATTTCACCTGAAGTGATTTTATCTCCGGCTTTCATGCATTGAAGGAGATTTTATCTTTATTATTATTTATCCCTTGGATTCCCTTGTGGAACATAGGGATTCAGTAGCACGTCACCATCTCACTCTTTCCTCTGCAGTCTTGTTTTTCAACCTGGCTCCATCACTACCCAGAAGCCTTCATTTCTTCCTCACACAATCTCCTCCATGTCAACCTCGCCTCGGACTCCCAACTCGTCGTTTCCCATTGGCCTTCCACTCGACAGCCTAACCTGGTGCATGATGTCCCCAAACAGTGTTCTCAGTGTATAACCAGTCGACTACAATCCATCTCCACTTTCCTCTTTTTCATATTCGTTGGGTCATAGGTTCTTGGATGGTTCGTTGCCTGCCAGCCAGCCAGCCAGCCAGCCAACCAGAGTTGCATGTTGCTTATTCTTATTATCCTGGCCATCCATCTGATCTTCAATGTCAGTGTGGAGTGAGTGTAGACGTCAGCTGTTGATGTGATGTATGTCTGCAGTTAGTTGTAAATGCTTTTGGTAACGCACCAAGTCTCTCAACCATCACACAGAGAAGCACTGACTGACTCACTTGACTGATCTTAGTGTTGAAAATCTGGATGTTGTTCACGCATTATGTTGAGTGGAGTAGAGTGGAGTGGAGTGGAGTGTAGCGGAGTGCAGAAGATCTCCACACTGATTTGAGATAAATGAAGGAAAGCCTGTCTTGCTGTTTCTCCGATCCCGGTTTTGACGTCCTCATGTGTGCCGTCGCCACCGCCTGTAGTTGGAACGATGCTACCTTACCTGGATAGGTGAAGAGATAACTTTAGATTTCTCCCGTTCATGGTGATTGGTGCTTCTTGTTGTTGTTGTTGTTGTTGTTGTTGTTGTTGTTGTTGTTGTTGTTGTTGTTGGTTAGGTATCTTCATCATCTCTGTCTTCTGTACGTTCACGTGAAGGAAATCCTGTCTTCTCTACCCTGCCTCTTCTGTCAACTTGTTAGTTTTTACCTGTAGATCTTTTGGAGTTTGTGCGACAGTAGAAACTAGACATAAATCATCATCGTTGGTGAAATGCAAATCTTCTTCTGAGGTCTTTTCATCGGTGAGACAGCGTATGTCCATCTTCTTGCTTCTTACAGTTTGTTGCATGATGTAGTCGACCACAATCAGTAAGATCGTAAGTGTTATTAGGCGGCGACATTGTTTTACTACTGTCTGCATTTCAAAGTGGTCAGTGCATAGCTTTCCATTGTGAATCACTTGGCATGTAGCATCGTATAGCATGTAGCTGTTGAATGAGGTTGATGAATGTTTGTGGCACTGAAACCGTAGTGTTGAGGCAGCTGCCAAATTACTTCTCAGTTGACAATATCGAATGCCTTTTCAAAGTCGATGAAGTCGAGGTAGAGAGTTGACTGCCATTGTATGCCCCCTGTTCTGTGACGATTAGTTGCGTTGTTTTGCAATTTGACCAGCACATGAATTGTTCTTCCTGAATCCAGCCATTCTGTTCCGGTCATAATTTTCTACCCAACGTCTATTTTAGTCTCTCCAGGTTGATACGGCCTAATATTTTGCTCACTTTGGGTGAACAACAGCATGGTTCCGCGCCAGTTCTTGCAAACACTTAGGTCGCCCTTCTTCGGGAGTTTGACAAGGTAGCCTTTCTTACAATCAGTGGACAGGTACCTTTTCATCCTTCATTCCCTCCAAACCTTCTGCAACAGTGGTATGGTGTAAGCACGTCCGCTGCTGATGTCTCTGCGTCTGTTCTCGGTGCTTCTGAAGGAATTCGAACTGGTCCTGTTGCTTTCCCGCATTTCAGCGACTTTATGGAGCTCAGAACTTCGACTTTTGTTGGAAGATTTGTGTTCTTTTGTAGTTCTGTGATTGCAGGTGGTATTTCCGGACGAAGTGCTCGTGGGGGTCGATTCAAGAGGTTTTTGAAGTGGTTAGCCCGCCGTTTCTTTTGTTTCTCTTCTTTGGTAATTAGATTTCCTTCATCATCCTTTATTGGTTTCATCTGTGTTGGTCTCTTACCAGATAGTAACCTGGTTATTTGATATAGTGTTGTTAGGTCTCTGTCTTCTTAAACTGCAGTCTGTTCTTCTTGAGTTGCAAGTGTGTCGTAGAGGTATCCTTTGTCTTTGCGCGCGCTCTTCTTCACTTCTTTGTCCAGTATAGTGTTTTATAGGTTGTAGCCAGTTCCTCTTCTCGTCATTCATCCTTACACTGGCTTATCTTCTGCTTCACCATCACCATCTTCCTCTCCCTGCTCTTTCAGCTTCCATGTGTCCCTCAAAATCCATTCCTTATCTTCTTTCTTCTTCCTTCCTAATACGCTTATGCAGTTTTCTTTCCACATGGCTTTCAAAGATTTCCAGTGTTCATCCACGCAGGTTTCTTCAGGGATGCTTCTCCATATCTCCCATTTTGTCCTGATGACTGACGTGAAGATTTCTTTTGTAGTTTCGTCCTTCAGTTTCCGGGTGTTGAACTGTGATGTTATCTAATAATACTTATGTATTGTCACGGCAGTATTCAACATGAACTGCCATCAGATGAAGAGCCCTTGAAAACCTGGGAGTACTGGAATGCTGTTTCATCCTAATGTATGCCCATGATCCTGGTAGGGATAGAACCCAGAATCTTAGTTCCCTCAGTAAACACCTTTCCAGTCAACCACTGGGTCGTAATCCGACTGTCCACATTTCCCTACTTTGGTTAATTTGTGAGATACCACAACCACCAATGGTTCCCCAACTAATGCCAGTTTGTGATGAATACCATCTTAAAACCAATTAATCTCTATAATCCTCCCAAGTGAATTTCTGTATTACCGTTTGGTTCAAAAACTCATAATCCCACTAGCAGTTCTGTAACTATTTATTCCCTTCAGTAGGTTCTCTGTTTTGGTCACAGTTTCACTTATCTGTTGTTGTTGTTGTTATTCTATTTTTATTATAGAGAATATGAGCAAACATTAGATGCACTTCAAGCAGACATTGAGGCTTTGGAGCAGGAGAAAGCAGAACTGAAGGAGAAATTGAAAACTTTGAGTAAAAAAGCTTTGTTTGAAGGAATTATCAAAACACCATTAGTTTTAAGTAAGTTTTGCACTTTCTATGAGAAGTATAGTAATTACTGTATATACTGGATATTTTCATCACAAGGAATTTATTCTCTTCAGGTTTCACTTTGCCCTCATTAATGCAGTAATACGTTGAAAATACTTATGATTTATTGAGACCTAGTTATTTACTTTCTTCAGCTCTCTTGCTGATCATCCTTTTGAAGATATTTTGTTTTTTTCGAAATGAGAAGTTTGTTGTATTTCTCCCATTATTCCATTCCTCCTTCACGAATTCCAAATCAAAGTTTGGACCTTAAGACATTGGAATACCAATACTGGGTAACATTTACTTGTGGTTATAATGATGGCTAGTGGCTAGGAATGGATTCCAGAACGTTTGTTCCATCTTATTTGGAACTTATCAGGTGCATGTAGCTGTTTCTCAGTGAGTGGTGGTACTCTTCTTTTTTTTCTATAAAAGTGCTGGTTAGTATCACCACTTTCAGTTACAATTTTCGTCAACTAACCTACCTCATGTAGCCAAATCTTCACACTTCTACGTTACTGACATGTTGACACCATGACACATGGCTTTTGCTACGAAGGCAACAATACCCGAATATCTCAAGCCTCCCCGTCTCCTCCACATCCGGTGGCCACATTTCACAGACATTTATGAAGACCGAACTATCAGGGGCTCAGTACAATTGCCCCTAATACAAGGATGGATATCACGGTACCACCTTAAATTGCGAAAGTTGACCTTCCGATGCGTTTTTTCCATACAAAGATTTCATTGTTCACTGACTTAGTAGAGCTGATCCGACTAACTAAGTAGAGTAATCGATGCGTCTAACCACTTCACTCCCTATTGTTAGACTAAACATCAATGTAAATTAGTCCTGAAGCAACCGATTGTGGAGGTTTGAATATGGACCCTTTAATTGAGCGATGTACTTACATAGCATCCCTTTAAGTAACAGACACTATGGTGAGATCTGTCGACTGACGGAGTATAATGTGGCTTTCAGGTCGGGAAATACGATTACTGTCAGGCGTCCGTAAACTTTCCCATGTTTTGGAACGTGGCGGTTAGTTTATTTCCGGTCAATGCACCCATGACTAAGTTTGAAAACTGCCTGACGTTTTCGGGTTCGCTGTTCCTGATCTTTACTTAGACATCTAATAACTACAGAACCTAGGATCTTGGACAATGGTCGTCGAACTGATTCTCCTCTGGTTACCGCAGCAGGATTTCTCCTCGTCCTTGAAAACTAGGACAATCAGTGATTGAAACTAGCCGTAGGAAATCCCATAGCAGCTAAACCCTTAGCAAATACGAATAAAAATTTCCGACCACTATCCTTAAATACTCCCAGTACTAGGCCATCTGGCACTGTTGCTTTTCCTTGCTTCAGGTTACCCACAGGCTTCGCAGTTTATCCAAAAGTTGGGTAGCTTGTCTGTGTTTTACTCAGGATTCAACTGCATAACAAGCAGGGGGCTAGCTGGAGGCCTGTTGAACTGTGTCCTGAAGTGTTCCGCCCATCGTTCCATCCGTTACCCCTATGAATAAGTCACATCCTTCTCCTATATAGTTCCACTAACCTTCAACCATTTTGCCATCTGTTGTTACCTATTGTCTCTGCCTTCCTGTATGTATTTACCCTTGCTACCCATCACTACTTGTGGTCATTGCGTAGACTTCTTTTCAATCTACATTTTATTTGCCTCCGCAGTTTGTCTGTGACCACTGTGGAATTGAGGTTGACGCATGCCACGTCATTTAATATCCCTCTGTATGTCTGAAGTTCGTGCTTGCCGGAAATAGATGGTTCATCTTAGCACAGTTATAGTAGGCGATAATCGTTATCGTTTTGTTCGGCTGGGATTCCAAAAGTGTCACCTTGCTGTATGACTTAGCCTACCCATGTGTGCATTGAAGTCGTTCAGTACAATACCCACATCTGAAAGTTTTGGAGTGAGATTTGATTGCGCTACCACCGGTGCCGGAACACTGTAAGGCAGGTACTATTTTTAAGGTGGGCGTTTTCCAATATCCCTTCCCATAAGGAAGGTAACATTAGCATGATACTGCTTTTCCTCCGCTGAGACCACCCTACTATCACACTCCTGTGCAGCCCATATTACAACTTCGCCCTTGGATCCCTGTCATAGTGTAAGTTGTTTACACTACAACAGTAACTGCGTTTTTTCTTACCACTATCTTTTTGCTACGGTAGAACCACAAGTGACAGATGTTCATTTCTCATATATCGTTAAATCAATATGATATGCAAGTCAGACAATGACGTCAAAATAGTAGCAACCAGCCAAGTGAATGTGCTATGTTAGCTGAATCATTATGAAGTTGAGATGAAGATAGGTGTGATCAAACCAAAAAATGGTGCCAATACAAGGAGTCTCTGACTATTGGTGTGGGCCGTTTAGATGTTAGTTTCCTAGTTGATATCATTAAGAAAACTGAAATCATTAAGTAGAGACTTAGACGATATGGCTCGAAATTTATCCCAATGGCGCAGATACATCCATGCCTTTTTTTTAGCTCTCATATCACATTTCTTTATTGGTTTTCAAACCTCTTCTTTTCACCTTCTGAATTTTAATGATGTCTAATTATACCGTTTTCATTTCTTTATCTTCCTGTTTATTTACCTGTATCATTAGGCGCTCATGTTACGTGTGATAATGTAAACCTTTCTGCAGAAAATCTTAGCGGATAAAGCTAAGAAAACATTTAATAAGCATTTCAAGTCTATTTTGGTCTGAAAATTGATTAGAATAAATAACAAGGGTATTCAGAAACTACATACTGGTCTTTCCACTAACTACTACGCTACAACTAATGGTACTGCTTGACCGCCGGGACCTCGATAGATGGTGCAAAGACTGGAAATATGAACAGTCAGTTGGAACTTAAATGTTTAAAATAAAAACCAACAGCTTCACTTTTCTGGTCATATAAACACCATCATCTTATTCGCTGTACTCAATTATCTGTAGACTGACTAGTTAAACCTTCAATTATATATTTGTACTAATACTTCGATTACAACTGCTTGTCATCTATATTGTATTATCCTATTCACAAGAGGTTGACAACACTAATTCATGAAGAATTCAAGTTTTCATGCCTGTCGATAACTGTAGTAGTCTATTTCTAAATTTTAATCGTATACAAACGTTACCATCTGTTTTAAAATAATTTATAGTATTACTAACCCACTTCAAGTGTTTATGAGATACCTGATGCATCAAACTACTTTCGTGTTCCTCGCCCCCCCCCCCTTATATAATACTGAGTAAATATCGTTTTATTCTAATACTGTAGGTCCAGCACAGTCTAAAGTTCAGCCTACTACAGCTGCATCAACTGCATCTCCTACACCTGGTAAACAGGCATCCGTTGAATGTACACCACCTTCACCTGGTCCTGCACGCTTGTCTGCCTATAGAGATACTTCATTCATGGCAATGGAGGTTAGTAACTTTTCTATGCATATTTCGAATCTTGTGTTCGAGTTTGTCTAGTGTATACAAATTAGTAACTTTTCAGGTAAATATATATGTCAATTCGAATCAGGAATAAGTTGTCGTTTATGTTCGTAAGTGGTAGTAAGCTGGAGAACATTTTTTCTTCGATGTTATGCTAATCAAAGTCAGTAGTATGCTACAAACTGACATGGTCACTTATAGACCACTCATACCAATCAATAGTGGTTGCCAGCCACCTGATTTGACTCTGACTTTCCAAACCGAAGTAGTCAACATGATCGCAAATCTATAGCCTAATTATTGAACACTGAGTCACATCCATTCAACAATCTGTTAATTGTCTCCTTATGAGATATGCAAAACATTGTCTCATATTGTCTCATATGCAAAATTCTTGTACAAGAAATCCTGGCCTCTTATATTATTATTATTTATCCCTTGGGTTCCCTTGTGGAACATAGGGATTCAGTAGCACGTCACCATCTCACTCTTTCCTCTGCAGTCTTGTTTTTCAACCTGGCTCCACCACTACCCAGAAGCCTTCATTTCTTCCTCACACAATCTCCTCCATGTCAACCTCGCCTCGGACGCCTAACTCGTCGTTTCCCATTCGTCTTCCACTCGACAGCCTAACCTGGTGCATGATGTCCCCAAACAGTGTTCTCAGTGTATAACCAGTCGACTACAATCCATCTCCACTTTCTCTTTTTCATATTCGTTGGGTCATAGGTTCTTGGATGGTTCGTTGCCTGCCAGCCAGCCAGCCAGCCAGCCAACCAGAGTTGCATGTTGCTTATTCTTATTATCCTGGCCATCCATCTGATCTTCAATGTCAGTGTGGAGTGAGTGTAGACGTCAGCTGTTGATGTGATGTATGTCTGCAGTTAGTTGTAAATGCTTTTGGTAACGCACCAAGTCTCTCAACCATCACATAGAGAAGCACTGACTGACTCACTTGACTGATCTTAGTGTTGACAATCTGGATGTTGTTCACGCATTATGTTGAGTGTAGTGAGTGTAGCGGAGTGCAGAAGATCTCCACACTGATTTGAGATAAATGAAGGAAAGCCTGTCTTGCTGTTTCTCCGATCCTGGTTTTGACGTCCTCATCTGTTGCGTCTGTGGTTGAAACGATGCCGCTTTTTCTGAGACGACTTCCTTTCGATTTCACTCATTGATGGTGCTTGTTGTTGTTGTTGTTGGTTGGGTATCTTCATCACCTCTGTCTTCTGTACGTTCACGTGAAGGAAATCCTGTCTTTTCTACCCTGCCTCTTCTGTCAACTTGTTAGTTTTTACCTGTAGATCTTTTGGAGTTTGTGCGACAGTAGAAATTAGACATAAATCATCATCATTGGCGAAATTGAAATCTTCTACGACACTATACCTATAGGTATAGTAAATTACCCAACTGGATTACAGTGGTGACAATAATGACAATATTAGCGATAATTAGGCTCAATAATAACTATTGATTCATGTATAAGGTTACTGGTCACATTCACTGATTAGTATTCAATTCTGTTATTCGACTGCCTAACCTGGAGTATGCAGAACAAACGTGAACTGCTTCGGTCGTGCACCTAGGAACCTCTTGTTTGTTCTTTGGGAGAAAATCTGGTTCATTGGCTTAAAATTTAGGCTTTCAAGCAATGGATCCTGGGTTCGAAACCGACTCCGCCTCAGCTATTTTGATATTTAGTTATCTGTTATATGGAGTCTTGTAACAGTTTAGTGAAAGTTTATGGTCGTAATATTTCAGTCAGTGATTTCGGTACTCTCTTTTTATGAAGCATATTTACCTCGTTAATTGGTTTATTTCTATTTTCTATAGATTGAAGCTCTTCGTGAAGCTGTACGACGTTTGTCTTCTGAAGTATCTCGACTTCGTGGTGAAAAAATGCTTGTAAGTTCGTATGAAATCCTTTAGAGTGTCGTCTTGTGTTATGTACTTTACCACTACTTCTGTTTATCGAAAAATAGCCATACCAAGATCATTTTAAGGTAATTGATTACCTCCCGGACTAGCATCTTAACAAATACTCTACTGTACCCGAACTTACATGAGGTTTACTCTTTCAATCGAACTGCTTGTATTATTGGTATAAGAGTAAAATTTGACCGTGTGTCAAAATTCCAGACGGAAACAGAATCGACGTAGAACTTCACACACACAAGACTTTACAGTAATATACAAAGACAGGTTGATAGAATAAGGGGGATTTCAAAATAGACAAAGTTGCGTGAGAAAGTAAACAGTTTGAAGGTAAAGGCTAGAGCGAATATTCAAGCTTTTATAAAGACATCAAAGACTGCGTCATTGTGACTGATTTTCAGCCATTTCACCAAGAGTTCTCAATGACTAATTCCTTTCGTCTCGGGAAACCTAACCAGGCAATCTTCATCTCTCCACATTACTCAAACCAGCAGTAGGAGACTTCATCGACTGATGCCAGTCTTGGTCTGACCACCCTGAACCTTCTTCCAAACTAATCCAGCATCTCCTAGCATGGCACGTCGATGTAGGCGGTGACTGAGCCTGCCAAGCATATGTCCAAGCCGCCTCATTTGATGAAGGTTCACAACTTCATCAAACGACTTGCTTATCTTGCTTAGTACCGTTCACCTGACCTCAACATTGCTCACACAATGATTCCACCAAACGCTTATAATGCCATGAAGACACCTATGATCAAAACCTTGTAACCGCTTCATATTTTCTACTTTCAGCGGCCTTGTCTCACAGCCGTACAAAAGGACTGCAGTGCAGTATACTCATGCTTTGATAGATATTCGAATATCTCGCTGACACCACAGGTGACGTAAGTTAGCAAATACCACGCTGGCCTTCTGTATCCGAGCTGAGATTTTGTCACGAACCAGCCAGTTCGGGCTGATGCAACTCCTCAAGTAAGTGAAGTCGTTGGGACATTCCATCACTTCATATCATTAAACTGGAGTCGCTGCAGACCAGTCCTGGAGCATCATCCTACATTTGACAGGTGCCAGGGAAACCCATGCCAAAAATACTCAGATTTCTGATCAATGCATTCAAAAGACTGCATTTTGTCAGTGTCTTCACTTAGCAGGACAATATCGTCTGCATACTCCAAGTCAATCACATACCCCCCAACGTTTCAGCCGTCTATCCTGGGATGGGTACCATCCTTTCCAGTGGTTTCACTAACCATCGTCTTATTCTTGCCACTATCCTTAATAAACCTGAAAGTTGCTGGGTGTTAGCCAACTCTGATCCTCCTTCATCTCCCTCGTTTTCGTCACCCACGACAACTCGCTATCAACGCGGACTCTTGGTCAATTTACGTTTTAGTTGCTTTCTCTCTTCATGATGGTAAAAGCCAGTTGAAATCAGTCTTCTCTTATCAGTCAGTTCGAGTGACGTCACAGAAATCCAGTGATGTTTGCTAACCTTTGGGTGTCGGTTACCAACTATCTTTACTGCTGCTTCTACGGTAAACTTAACATCACCCTACTCCAGGTTTCCTCAGGATGAGTATTGCTATCATCTTCAGATGAATGCTTAGCTAACTCTTCCATAAATACATAATTGGCATCCTCATCTTCCAATCGACCATAAATAAACTTTACTATCGCTTATAGGAACCCGTACTAGTGCGTGATCGGAGTCCGGACTGGTACTTCAGAAAGAGCAGCACTCCTCCTCCGACCCTCTCCAACGATGGCTTATGACAATATAATCTATCTGTGTCCATCGTCGGTTCGATGCCGGTGGACACCATGTGAGGCAGTTTCTCTTCTTATGCTTAAAGTTAGTGCTGGCCAGAAGAAATTGGTTGTGGGAACAAAATCGCAACAGACAATCACCGTCATCGGTTCGTTGGCATGGGTTTCTGTAAATACCTCCTAGATGCCTTTCCGATTGGACGTTAAAGTCACCTACCATTATGACTACATCTGAACGTTTTGATTTCTGTAGCAAAGTTGATAGCTTCTCATAGAATTCATCCATTGCATTATCCGAACTGCAGTTGGTGGATACGTAGGCAGAGATTACTAAGAGGCATTGGTTGGTCTCACGATCCTTCCTAGTTCTTACAGCTGCTTTCAGTCGAACATCACATTGACGGCTGCCAACTAATATGCGGTCAAGAAGCTCACTTCCTGCCCTATAACTTAATTCTGCGCCTAGGCTGGAGATTTCACAAGAGCTGGCCATCGGGTCTCCGGATACTCGTAAGTTGAATTTTGCAGGTTCACCACTATGACTAGATGAAGCCAACTTAATAAGCAGACTCAGGTCTTGTGTACGTATCTCAGAGATACAAAATACAACTATGGCTACAAACTCCAGAGTTTCGGCGATCGGTGCTTGATGTCTGATTTGGCAGAGAGTTCGGACGTGGCGCGTTCTTAGGAGACTAGGAATAAGGTTTCGGTAGTTTTGATCGTTGGCAATGGTTGCAGAGTGAGAAGTTGGATAAGGTGTCAGTGGCTGGATATTAGTATCAGAAGGCGAAGGCAATGGAGGCGACATAGTTGAGGAGGATATGTTATGTTTGATTGTCTTCTGTAATACTGGAAGCGTGCGGGTGATTGACTTCTCGGCTGCCCATACCGTGGAAATCTAGTTCTTCAGACACCTGAAAAAGAAGAGATAGTGTGTGAACACAGAGCCTACGAAACATCAGCTTGAGGCTTGTCATACAAGACCTTTTGACAAGTTTTGATTTTTTTCCCTTTCGAATCCATTTGTGAATCCCTGTTGCTGACATCGGCATGCTGCAAGGGTTGGGAGTGTGCCATTTTTTCTACCTTTCTCTGTAATAGGAAAGGCAGTATCACGCTGGCACAGCTGCTCATCCTAGGAATCACCTATTTTCACACCCCCATCCAGCTAGCAGCAGTAGGACTTCGCCCTCAGGTCTCCATCATACTGTAGCAATTTAAACTAACAATGGTGACTACTTTTTTGTTTAACCACCATCCAACAGAGCTTTCTGGTGTGGTAGGACCTCGAGGGAACAAGCGTTTTACAAGCACAGCTCGTTGGGTCATTGAAATATGCAAACCTGACCACCACGTCAAGGTAGCAGCCATCGATCGGGTCCTAAAGTTGCGGAGTTATCATGATATGGCCGTGAACAGTAAATTGTGTTCAGTAGATAGTACTGTTTCAGTAAAATCCCCACATTATTTCTATAATTTCATAGTCTCTACCAGTAAAGTCATATTCACCATGTTAACTTACGGAGGAGGGAAGTTTGTTTCCCCAAAAGTGTACAACTATATGTGAACCTAGATTGTCATAGATAATAAGAATGTCAACAAGACTCACTAAGCATTAATTTGTACTTAAAACGCCCCACTGTATTTGTGTACAACCGTAACTAAATTATTCAGTAGTCCTAACTATTAGTCGATGAATCGAATCAATTTTTACGAAATAGTCACTTATTACTTTAATTGTTCACTGTAAGGGCGTACACTAGATTAGTAAAACGGTGTTTTATTGATCTACAAGATAATCATCTAAACCACTAGTTTGACAGACTAGCATAATATTCAAATGAACAAAAACTGCAATGTGAGAAGAATAACTCAATTCTATCTAATTTCTTCAAATGCTTCTCGTCAAATTCATGAAGCATGATAAATGCATAAACTTTCATAATAATGTTATTAACTTTTCTGAATACCTTAAAGAGATTTGTTTATACAAATAGCCAAATGATAGAACTTTAGCGTCGTCTTTGATGTATGTACTTGTTGTTTTGTGAATATCTTCTCTTAGAGGAGATGTAATTGTCAACAATACGCAGTAAAATCGTAAAATCCATGCTTCGAAAATGAATGAACGAATACTACACCTTTGATGATGCAAAAAAGAGGTAGAGTGTTCTGGACATATTTAACGGTAATTTGAGAATGTTCAAGATGCGTTTCTCACTATCCAAATGCAAATTGTTGCCCCAGGATTGGGTTCTAGTAGTAGTAGTAGTGCCTTGTTTAACAATAGGGAGTCAAGCAGCTAAGCGCGTTGACCACTTCACTTGCCTAGGAAATCGGATCAACCATACTAGATCAATAGCCGACAAAATCTCTGCACCTATACTAAAGACTCGATTGATTTTTGCCAACGTACACCATCTGTGGCACCGCCGTGATATCCGATTGTCTATTTAATGTTGAGTTTACTGCGCTACAGTTCGCTCTGTTCTACCAAATGGCTGGGAAACATGATCATTATTGGTAGATGACGTTTCCTTCCAGAAAAATAGGAGTGCAGCCGGCTGATTACCCAGGACTCAGTACTATTCCCGTGTAGTTTGTCCTGTATAAGAGCTCTTGAGACAAAATCAAATGCTGAAGTAGTCTGAAAAAGCACACCTGACACACTTGGCATTTACATCAAGATTACAAGCAACATCGTGATATAAGAGTGGTGGTATTCAGAGTCCTTCTGCTTTTATATGTAAATTGATTAGGGTCTTTAAAAGCCTTCAATGAGGGTTCATGCACAAATATTATTAGCTTTTTCATTATTTTGATGAACGAAGAAGTAACTGCAATCGGACGGGATTTCGGACATGTGCCTGGAATCCCGTGACTTACGTATGTGGACTGTCTTAATATCTTTTCAGGCACCCTACTTACTTTTTCGTCTCATTGGTTGACTTAGGGTTAATCGCTAGTTGTCAAAGATGATATTCTTCTCACATACCTGTGTGTATCCCACCTGATTAGCTTTTATTTTATCTTTCACACGTTGACAAATCAGTTTACTATTTGACTGTACAGGGTTGGTGGTTGAATTTGATGAGAAACGGATCACCAACGAACTTAAACTACCTTTCCTTGGAATAATGACACCGGTGGTTTGTTGGTCAGTGTTCATCTGTTTCAAAACTTCACTCATCGTCGTTATACATTAGGATTAATTTGTCGATCTATTCCATCTTAAATAATTAAACCTATAGTTTTGTTAAAATTTGATTTCAATATCTCCTTATCTTTATATTATTTTGAACCAGGAGCAAATGAAAGTTTTGGACGTTTAAAAAACCTTCACGTCGTCAAGATTCTACAGTTGTTGACAGTAATTTGAATAATGAAGATAAACCATCTACCGCAGAAGAACGAAAACCCGTTATACCACAACTGGCACGTGATGCTTACTCACTTCAACAAGAAATCTTTTCAGTTCTTGCAAATCCGCAAGTAATCAGACTGCCTAAAATCTCACCGAAGCAAGTTGAAGAGCCTTCTTCAGGTGCTGGTGATGGGTCTGTTCAACAGTCTTCTAAAGCTGTTTTACCCAGTGCTGCAATTCAGTTTAATCGACAAACAGCTAAACTGGTTAAATTGAAGAATGATTTAGAAATGGTAATGTTGTAATTCGCATTCTTATAAGTGTAAAATTTCGATTGTTGTTTTTATTCCATACTGGCGGAATGATACAAACTGCGAAAATTGTGGCAATAGTAGATCTTTCCACATTTCTACAGTTATCAGCACTTAGAAACCAGTTGGTTTTGGAATAACATTTCGTTATTTGGATTTCAACCATTCGCTTAGTTCCTTTTACTGCTAATTTTTAGTATGTTGTAAGTTCCTAATCCAAAAGCCCTTCAGCCCCTCTTATATCTATCGTTATTATTGTGTTACTTTACGTAGGTCACCTTGTGAGCATTGTTAAGGTCAAGCAAAGAGTACTAAGCAAGACAAGCAAGTTGATTCATGAGGTTGTGAACGTTAATCGACTGAGATTGCTTAAACATGTGTTGAGCATGCTCAGTCATCGACCTACGATGGTAAGGAAAGGTGGATTAGGTCGGAAGTAGGTTCAGGGTGGCCCAGACTAAGACTTAACATCAGTTGATGAAGTCTTACTGTTAGTCTGAGTCATATGAGGAGATGTAGACTACCTGGTTGAGTTTCTCGAGACGAAAGAAATCAGTGGTTGACAACTCTTGATGACATGGCTGAAAATCGATCGTAGTAGCGCGAAGATGTTTTAACTCCTTGACATCTAAAACTGGAACATTTGCACTAATCATTACCTTCAAATTGTTGATTCTCCCACACAACTTTGTCGATTCTGATGCCACTTTTTCCATCTACTTGTTTACTGTAAACTACTGTGAAGTATGGCAACTTGAGCAGATGCAGTTGTATATATGAGGTTCTACTTCGATTTTATCAGTCGACTTAGATATTGATTCACTCGCCAAATCAAATACAAATTGAATTTACTTTCTTTTCCTGAAATGCCATCATTTATACGCATCTAGAATATTCATTTCCTAAAAAATGTCATGGTATAATGTGTATTATTTATTTTGTAAAACTGTAAAAAGTCATCCTGGGTAGAGTAATGCCAATGTCTCCATGGATTTTCTTCTCGAAATTAGAAATGTTATGAATCTAAAACTATCTCCAATGATCTTCCTGATTGTGGTCGACTGGATCATGCAACAAACAGTGAGGAGTGAGGAAGAGAGATATACTTTGGTCCGATGAAAAGATCCTAGAAGATTTGGATTTCGCCGATGATTTGTGTCTAATGTCGCACAAACTCGAAGATCTACTGGCGAAAATTAACAAGTTGACAGAAGAGGCAGCGAAGAAGAAACTTCAAGTGAATGTAGAGAAGATGGAGGTGATAAAGATACCCAACCAACAACAAGAGGCACCAATCACCAGTAACGGGAGAAACCTAAAGGAAGTTGTCTCTTTCACCTACCCAGGCAAGACAGCATTGTTTCAACTACAGGCGGCAGAGACACAGATGAGGATGTCAAAACCAGGATCGGAAAAGCAAAACAGGCTTTCCTTCATTAATCTGAAATCAGTGTGGACATCTACTGCACTCAGCACAAAGAACAAGATCCGGATTTCCAACACCAATTCAGTCAAGTCATTGCTGCTATATGGTTCAGAAACTTGGCGCGTTACAAAAGGGATTTCCGACAAACCACAAACATTCATCAACAGCTGCCTACTCTCTATACTGAAGATTAGATGGCCAGAAAGAATAAGCAACAGGAACTCTGGCTGGCTGGCAACGAACCAACCAACCAACCAAGAACCTATCGCCCAACAAATATGCCAAAAATGGAGATGGATTGGAGTAGGCATACACTGAGAAGACCATTCGGGGACATTACGCAACAGCCCAGGGAAACGACGAGTTGGGCGTCTGAAGCGAGGGTGACATAGTGGAAGAAATGAAAGCTTGTGGGCAGTCGTGGCGCCAGGTTGAAAAGACTGCAGAGAAGAGAGTACACTGGAGGCGTGCTACTGAAGCCCTATATTCCACTAGGAACCCAAGGGAAAAATAATAAAAATTAATGATAATAATTATCTAAAGTGGTAATTCTTATGACCTCCACACTTCTTGAGCGAATAAACAATCTACAGACGTGTTTTCTAACGAATGGTTGCCAGTTGGTTTACAGCTACACTGATGTTGTTCAGCTGCTCTGTACACTAAAATGTTGAGCTTCATGGTTTAAACGGTAAATTAATTTAATTTGTTGTCAATTTCTGTTTTACATAAACACATTGAACAGACCATTCGTTTTAATCGCTTGTATTTCAAGTATTTACTTTCTTCACTTTTACTTTTACTTAATCATAGTTACAACAACGTGCATTGGAAGCTATAAAGACAGAAATTCCAGATGCAACAATTAAAGCAGATTTCACCTGCTTCCCATCAGCTAAAATGAAGCAACTATTTACTCCATCAGTGATTGATGAGAATACTCCTTTACGTTATCGTTTATTATTCCCTGGGATTACTGATTGTAAAATGGATCCTACAAAAATTTGTATGACAAGAGAAGATCTTCAAAATCTACATTCTCATTTACTTACAGTATAAAAAAGATATTTATATTTTTCTGAAGATATTATATTGAGTTGTTTCGTTTCACAATAACCGGTACATACGCTTGCTACTATTGTCTATGTATGTGTTTATGTAATGCAGTAATAATTGTAATCTGAAGTAAATCCCGTTATCATCATCATCAGAGTCATTGGGGTGTGTTTTATCTCTTCCATTCCCAATGTCATTTTTGCACTAAGCGAAAAATTTGTCTCCTACTGTGTTTTTCTTTTGTGGTTTTTTCCTGATACAGGTTGTTAAGTTATTATTATTAAAGTAACTTGCACTGAAATCCCTTTACTAGTTTTATTTTATTTATTCAAGACTATGTTATCCTTCGTTACTATATGATACATGTTTACTTTTTTGAACGAATTGGTCACCTGTTGATAACCTGTGTACTTGTTAAAGTCTAAGTATTCAGCGCTGATAGAAGCTAGTAAGTTTCTGCAATCACATCTAAACCGATTGATGCAAGAAGATTCATTCTGACTGACTTTTATCACAAAATGAGAAGTGAAATCACCTCAAAAGTAAACCAACTGAGTGTTTGTAGTGAAAACCATGAGTAATGAGTCTCGAAACAAATGGAGAAAACATAGGTCCGAGGTAATTCTTGGGAGAAATTTAAGCTTATTATGGAGACCAACACTAGGAAAAAGATGAACAGATCCCTGGTGATACATAAAGGTGAATGGCTGGGAATTTCGACGGAATACTCTGAAGAACAAGTCAATTGACCTGAAGTCAACCTCCAAGTAGCAAACATGTAGCTCGAACCTGAATAGCATCTACATATTGGTCTTCCGTCCTCAAAGTTGAGAAATCTTTTTCAAATGTTAAACAGTACGAAGCACCAGGACCTAGGGACTTTCTACTGGAAGTTTTTGAGGATGGAGGCACTAGCTAACGTTTGATCTTGGCTGATAATTATACTGGTCTATATTAAGGAAGATAAGTTTGACTAACATTGGATTCGACATCGTAGAGTCTATAATTGTTGGACCCTTAGGTGAAGCTCGAGAACAGGCAGGTTTCAGCCCTGGGTTACGATGCACCATTCAGATCTTCACCGTTTGATGCATTTCGGAACGTAGACATTCTTACGGACAGTTGACACTAGCAATATTTCTTGACCTAGAGACAACATTCGACTCTATTGTTCGAGAGGTGTTGTGACAGCGTCTGACTGTGAAGGGAGTAACGAGCAAGTGTGGAAGCTAATCAAAGCTCTTTCCTCGAAATCACTTAGCCATTTAAGACCATACGAAGAGTTATCAACTGAAATAACTACAGCCACCCGTATCTCCCAAGGATGCTCGCTGTCACCATACCTGTTCAACTTTTTCATAGAGGTGTTGATGAACATAACTTAAGGTATCTCCGACTTCTCATGGATTAAATGATGTTCTGCTCTAGGACCAACTTGATTTGAAGATAGTGAATTGGTGGTGCATGACCTCTTCACTGAGAAGTTGTATCAGCTCAAAGACTGGTTGGATGCCAAAGGCCTGTTTAATTTTTACCAACTTAGGCCATATGTAACCTCACCTAGTTTCCTAGCCGGTCCTAAGCCCGGAATAAGAGGTGAGGTTGGGCATAGAGCTAGCAACCCCACCCCGGAGAATCAGTCCAATTGCTAAAGAAACTTCAAAGCACAAAGAAAATATAAAAATTGAAATCATTCCTCGCTGGAATCGAGAAGACGAACTGACGCCGGTGAAAGCCTTCGGGGAGACGATTCGCCGATGTGTCTTCTCTCGATGAAGGGGAAAGTAAACATGGGACATGGAATGTCCGCACACCGTTTGAACCCTGCAAGGCTGCCCAGATTGCAAAAGAGATGAGAAGGTATAGTATTGAAGTTGTAGTGCACCTTCCTGGCACCAAAATATAACTAGGGCTAAAATAAATAGTTTAAATTAAATTAACTAAATAAATCTCTAGCTTGCCTCCGGATGCTTAGGGTGTTTTAAGTTTTGTTTTAACGAGCATGCATCCGAGCAGGCTTGGACGCCATTTTTGCGCTCCATTGTGCTGATCACCACGCACGTACTCCGAGTCCCTAGTTCAGCCTTACAAGCCAGATAAGTTGATTAAACTTTTCCCTCATTCATTATTATAACATTTACCTTAAATACATAGCTCCTTTAAATACATTGCGTATCAGTTCTTTTGATTTGTGTTTTGTTACCAGTACTTACACGTTAGGTAAAGTACTGGTTAAGCAGGTACTAGAGCACATCAAATTAAGTAGGGTTGATCAAACGTTACGGAATTGTAACACGCATCCCTACAAAAATTGGTGAGCCCGAGTATCACTTCTTATTTTGTCTAGTACCTTTGTTCTCTTGCGTTGATTTGTCTGGCCTATTTTGTTTTTTGGCACGTCTAGCGTTTTTTTTTTATTATTGCACTCCTCATTGGTTATTTTTGCATTGTAATTTTTTTATTATCACTATCGTGCCTCGTTAATTCCCTGATCAATGGCGGATAACGACTCGACTGCGCAGATGGCCATAACCCTCCAGCTTCCCACCTTCTGGGCCCACAGACCATCTGCATGGTTCTCCCATGTGGAAGCTCAGTTTGCCTTGAGACACATTCAATCACAAGAAACTAAGTCCAACTTAGTCATCGTCAGCTTACCGGAAAATGTGATTGAAGACGTCTCAGATGTGCTAGATGACCCAGCACCGAATCTTTACGATCGCCTCAAAACCGCCCTCATCAAACGTGTTGCACTTACTGACCAGCAGAAAGTGCAAGAACTTTTCAGGGATGTGCATCTGGGTGATCGCAAGCCGACGCAACTGCTTCGTCAGATGAAGCAGCTGATTGCTGACTTCAACATTGATGAAGCATTTCTCAAGCAACTGTGGTTACAGAGGTTACCACAGTCGGTTCAAGGGATCCTCGCACCCTTCCATAAGTGTCCCTTAATAGAGTTGGCGGAAGCGGCTGACAGAGCTGTGGATGCTACGAAACCCAACACTAGTATCTCAGCTGCACTGTCTACTGCCACGGATTCGTTCAAAAATCCTCCCTCGGCTGTTGAGCCAACAAGTTTCGATGTTATAACTCACATCTCAAAATTGTATGAAGAGTTGTGCAGCATCAGGAACGAAATGCGGTCTGGTAGTTCTTACAAAGGTCGCACGTCTCGCTCGCGCAACAGGTCTGCCTCCCGTACCGATAGCAGACGTTCCAAATCGCGACAATCCCAACCCAGGTTGTGCTGGTACCATAAACGTTATGGTGCCAATGCCAAAAAGTGCACTCGACCTTGCACCTTCGAGGCTAACCAGGCGGGAAACGTGTGAGCCAGCACGTGACGGCGACTAACGTCGCTGGCGAGCCACTTCCATGTCGCCTCTTCTTCGTCACTGATCGACATTCTGGGATACGCTTCCTAGTTGACACTGGGGCAGAAGCTAGCGTCATCCCACCTACGAAGGAAGAGCGTCTGCGGCCAATGTCTCTGCAACTTCGTGCCGCCAACGGTTCGCCCATCACAACCTATGGTCGGAGATTCCTCGATCTCAACCTTGGATTGCGTCGTCCCTTTCGTTGGGTTTTCATAGTGGCAGATGTGACCACCGGCATTATTGGTATGGATCTCTTGCAGCACTATCAGCTGCTGGTAGATGCTGGCAAGCATAAGTTGATAGATTCTACCACAACACTCTCTGTTTCCGGTATAGTCACAAAGACGCCGCCCCTCAGTCCCGTGTACTGCACGACGGACGCTTCTAGTCCCTATGCGTCTATCATTCAGTCCTTTCCGGATGTCTTTAAGCCAAGTCGTTGTGTCCCTTGTGTGACTTCGAACGTTTCTCATCACATAACGACGACTGGCCCTCCAGTATTTGCGAAACCACGGCGATTATCCCCGGAGAAACTGCGTGCTGTAAAAGCCGAGTTCGAACACATGCTTGAAATGGGAATAATCAGACCATCCAACAGTCCATGGTCTTCACCCTTGCATGTGGTACCCAAGAACAATGGCATGGACTGGAGGCCTTGTGGTGACTACCGAAGGCTCAACGCTAAAACGATTCCAGATCGTTACCCAGTCCCTCACATTCACGACTTGACTGCATCTTTAAAAGGCTCGGTTATCTTCAGTAAGCTTGACTTGACGCGTGCATATCATCAGATCCCGGTTCATCCTGATGATGTTCCCAAGACAGCCGTCATTACACCGTTTGGTCTTTTTGAGTTCCTCCGTATGCCTTTTGGTCTTCGCAATGCAGCACAAACCTTCCAACGTTTTATTCACGATGTTTTACGTGGACTCGATTTCGCCTATGCCTACCTAGACGATATACTAATCGCTAGTCCAGACGAAGACACCATATTAACCACTTGAAACAGGTTTTCGCCAGACTGTCAGAGCATTCGATGACAGTCAACCTGGCCAAATGCCAAATTGGCGTTCGTTCACTAAAATTTTTGGGACACGTTATCGACGAGCAAGGCATTCGCCCACTACCTGAAAAGGTACAGGCGATCCAAGACTTCCCAGTCCCAGCGTCACTTAAAGCTCTGCGTGTGTTTCTGGGTATGGTGAGCTATTATCGTCGCTTCATTCCCCAATGTGCACACATTTTGACTGCACTGACCGACCTGCTGAAAAGTAAATGTAAAACTTTCAGCTTGACTCCTGAGGCACTAGAAGCATTTCGCAAGATCAAAACCGCAATAGCAGACGCCACGATGCTGGTGCATCAAGACGTAAACCTACCTCTCAGCATTGCGGTTGACGCCTCTAACACGGCCATTGGAGCTGTGTTGCAACAACTTTCGGATCACACTTGGATCCCAGTTGCATTCTTCTCCGGAAGTTATCCACCTGCGAAATGCGGTACAGCACTTTCGGCAGGGAACTGCTCGCCATATATGCCTCAGTGAAACATTTTCGTCATTTTGTGGAAGGTCGTGACTTCATCATCTTTACCGACCATAAACCTCTGACGTATGCCTTACACACC